TAATTCACTTGTACTTCCCATATGAACATGCCTTTATTTTATTTTTTTAAATTAATCATCATATTTAATTTATAGCCTCATCACAAAAATTTCAGTCTTTTGAGGAGTGCTATTTTGGATTAAGCTATTCTAAAAAATAGCTCTGACTTTTTTTTTTTCTCTCTCTCTCTCTAATTATTGAAATTTTGTCATTATTTTTAGGATTACTACAACTAATGTTTAAATGGATCTTTTCAATCTTCATTTTTAATATCTACATGTATTTAATTTGATAGAGATACAAGTTATTTAAAGAGATCCTTCAAGGCATTGGATTTAATTTTTCTAACCTACACATGTATACTCTTTCTTGTCATGTAAAATTTTAAATTAATATCATTTAATTTGTTGCATTTTTAGATTCTAGTAAATTATTTCCAGTAATTATTTGAATTGCACAACCCAATACTTTTCTACCTCACAGGAAATGTCTACCAATTAAATATTTATTGTATTAACATTATGAACATAACTAACAGGTTATGTTTTATAAGAAAACTGAAAAATAAATAAAAAGGCTTATAATATTCTTTCTTTATAGCAATATTTGAAAACTCCACTATCATATTTGAACATATAATTTGGAATATATTTATCAACAAAATTTGATCTCAAAATTCCACAATATATACACTGAAGATGTTATATAAATAACTCTATTATTGTCATCTCCTAGTTATGAGTTAAATTGCAGGGTAACCATTTTAAAAGAAGGCAGCATTAAAAAAGAATTATTGCAGTGTTGATAAAATCTTGCAAGTTTATTTAGTATGTCAAACTCAATATAAATATGTTAAATGTAGTAAATTATCTGTTGCCATGTTGATTACAATGTTATTGAAAGAAGGATGTTGAATTCAACAAGTGGCTGACATCTCAGTTTTCATGATATAAATGCTCCAGTTTAGGATACTTAATTTCCACTTGTATAATTTTAATGATGTCATTTTGTAAGATTTTTACTTAAAATTCTTTAAAGTCTGAACTATGATAGGAATAACTTTTTTCTGTAGAAATGTTGAATATAATGATTGAAAACATGAATATATTTTTGTTGATGCCAAGTAATCACTTTGTATTTATTTTTAAGTAGGGGGAAAAAATTCTTTTACCTTTTGTACCCTAACATTAGACACTTAATTTACATGTTTCCTCATAGATATTAGGTTAGGGAATTCCATTTCACACCTGCCTAATATTACATAATAAATATATATACTCACTATGAATTGTTGATGTTCTGTTGGGTTAGCTGAGAGTTATTAGCTTTTGACCTTACTGTTCCTCAAAATTCAGAAAGGCTGTATTGATATGTACATTAGTTATAGTTAATTCTTAAATATGGCAAATACGGCCTGGAGCAATAAATTCAGCATTAAATTCTTTTACTTATATCAGAAAAAAAAGTGGCAATTGAATACACTTAAAAATGAACACTGATTCTTATAAAATTATTCAACAAAGATTACTAACTGGCTAGTCATTATCACAAAAGAAAATTGGCAGAGTTTGAAAGTATCTTTTTGAAAATTACAGTATTGCTATCATTTAAGAAATAAAAAGTGCTTTATAGAAGTTATACATGGATTGATCTGTCATTCCATTTTTTTTTTTTATTGTACCTTCACTTTTAGGTAGTGTAACTGATTTCTTCATTCTTTGCCAACAATAAAGGCTAAAAGTTGGGAGATTCAGCTACTCACTGAATTCTAGATTTGCAGATGTTTTTGTATTGGATCAATTGTAGGTTAAATGGATCATTGATTGGCAAACTATGACCTTTCTCTTGAATATTTTTAGGAAACTGCAAGTTGCAATCTAGTTCTTGATTTGTAGACCTGCTCATTTTGATGTAGAAGTCTTGATCAAAAAAAATAAGACCCGGTAAAATTTTGTAAGAATGAATTCCTGAAATTATTTGAGAGGTAGCAGCAGATAACTCTGAGGGGATGCTGAAAAGTTCTCCCCCAGTCCAATTCCCAAAATCCCCCCCTCCCGAGACATGTATGTATGTATGTGTGTAATATATATATGTGTGTGTGTATATGTATGTTATATATGCTTAATCGTAACAATACAAAAATGTACTGGTGCTGATTTATTTAATGCTATTTATATTGGAAAAGATTTTAAAAGCTAATGCCAAAGTAATATTAACTTTTGTTGTCATAATTAGCTAAACTGTTGAGAATGATAATCTTCAGCATTTTAATCAGATTATATATTCTTCCGCAGTTTGTAAATGCTTATTTTTATACTAGAATGCAGAGTTTAATTTTATCTTCAGTATCTGTTTTAACCATTATAGGCTTTATTAAAAAAGTCGTTTCTTTTTACTGCTTTTTTTTTTTTTTTTTTTTTTTTTCAAAACATTTTGTAAAGTTAGTTTTTGTATTATAATATTCATCATTACTTAATTTGTTTACTAAAGTGTAAATAATTTGAAGCAAATTATTATTTAAAGAAAATAACATTTGAATAGCAATTGCCATCTATTTTATAATTTGTGCTTTGAAATTATATGAAAACTAATTTTGTTTTGTTATCTCGGTGATATTTCTTGATTATGTGAGTTGCCAAATTGCAATTACATATGTAATTTATGATTCTAATAACTGATATTTGAGGAGGCTATCTACTTGTGTCAATGAGTTAGTGCTCAATTACCAGTTAAGTAGCTGTTTGAACTTTAAAAAATGCTCTTGATAGAAAATTTCCACTTTAATAATTCTTTTTGGATAAATGAATGCTATTTTCATTACCAGTGGGTGCAGAAAAATTCTCAGCCCAATCTACTCTACAAAATCTAGCTTTAGTTTGTAAAGTACTGAGTCAGCTCTTTTTTTTTTTTCTTTCTTTAAGATATGGATTACAAGTTCAAATCTTGTCAGTGACTATTTTACATTTACTAGTTGAAGGGTATTTGACCTACTAAAAATTGTGTGTGTGTGTATATATATATATATATATATATATATATATTTTTTTTTATGAAAGCTTTTCCAGAATTAATGGAAATTTTTAATATCAGAATGTAAATAATTTGTTTTACCTAATAACTTCTATCATAATTATTTTCTGTTACAGGATAGAATCTTATTTGTAATGAATCTTCAAATAAAAAAAATACATTTGAAAGTTCTTTGTATGTGTAAAGCCAAAGCCTTCATCTTATTTAAGAATGATTCAAGTGTATAGTATTTACATAAAATACTTAATGCATGCATTTTATAAGCAGCACTAAATAAATCCTCAATCCTAAGATGATTGTGTGAAAACAAAGAGCGTTTAATGAGTAAGCTCTGGCTTTAGTTTGTAAAGCACTGAGTCAACTCTTAATGACTTAACAACAGAACAGCTGCTGGTCCTTTTGGTACTGACCTTTTATCAACACTAAGTATTTGAGAGATGTGTTATAATAAAAAGGGATTGTTTTTGTGAATGTGTGTTTTACAGCAATGTACTTGCAAGTTTTTTCTTTTATGGAATACTGTAATTATTAGTTAATTGTTGTGGAAGAGTAAAACTTGTATGTGTCTTTATTTTCTCATACTGTTTTCATATAATCTTACAGAATTTGAAAGTCAATGGATTTATTCATGTTATTCAACTCTTAAAATTAATCCTTTTTATGTTAGAAATATCTAAAGAGAAATGTGATAAGCTTTTCAGAAAGTAAGTGTTAATATTTTGTGATTGATATTTGATTTAGGCTCTTGAAAACTGACCAATGAAAATGCATAGGTATAAAAAGGTACAAGCTGAAGATTCACAGGACATCAAATGATTTGAATGTTTTTGTTAGATTATCTTAAAACTTCTTTCTTTAGTGAAAGTACAAAAAAAGCTTTTTGTCTACACTTTATGCCTGTTAAATATTCTTTTTCTTATTGTCTATAACAGATAGCAATAGATTTTTTGCACAGCACTTAACTCTGCTCATGACCCTATGTATATGAATGAAAATCATAATTTATTGTCAATGGATTGAATTGACAAACTACACATTTGAATTGTTATTTTTTCTTGATAATTACAACAATGTTAGTGTGATTTAAAGTTTTGAAAAATCCCAGCAATTCTCTATTTGATTTTTTTTTTCCTACCATAAAAAATAGCTAAATTGATTTGTATGGAGATGGTTGTTGTGGTCTATTTACTATAGCATCACATTTCAGTGTTGACCAATCCCTGTCATGTTAATTCAACTTTCAACTACATGTGCACTGTAATAATTTATTTTTGAACACAGAAAATTTTTAGCAGTTATTTTATCTTTTAATATCTTAATCATTGTTCAGTATTATTATTTTTTTTCTTTCTTATTTCAATATTGTCACTTTAGATATTTCTATTCAGCATGACTAAAATTTACAATGATTTTCTTTCTTTCTTTCTTCAGGTGTAGAAAATCATGAAATTGTAAGGGTATTGTCAACCCAGATTTTTTTTTTTTTGGAAACAGTGGATTTGTGACTCTGACAAAAATCCTAAAAATGCCAACTATTCGACGAACAATTAAAAATGTTGTTTGGAATTATTCAGATGCTCAGATCAAAGTTCGTGAAGCAACTTCTAATGATCCATGGGGCCCTTCAAGTACACTGATGTCTGAAATTGCAGATCTTACTTACAATGTTGTTGCCTTTACAGAAATCATGCAAATGATTTGGAAGAGACTCAATGATCATGGGAAGAATTGGAGACATGTCTACAAATCACTAGTACTGTTGGATTACATAATTAAAACAGGAAGTGAAAAAGTGGCACAACAATGTAAAGAAAATATTTATGCAATTCAAACATTAAAGGACTTCCAATACACAGAAGATAACAAAGACCAAGGTATGAATGTACGGGAAAAAGCCAAACAGCTAGTATCACTTTTGAAAGATGATGAAAGATTACGAAATGAAAGAGCTAAAGCACTTAAAGCAAAAGAAAGATTTGCCCAAAATGCCATGGGAATTGGAAGTAACAATAAGGTAATTATTTTTCTCTCTCTCTCTTCCCATCCATCTGCCCCTCTCCTCTCCACCTTTCTCTCCCTCTCTCTCATCCCTCTCCCCATCTCCCCTCCACCTTTCTCTCTCTTTCTCCCCTCAATTAATATTTTTCGATGGAGTCTTTTTCTCCTAATTTAGACTGTTTTGATTTGTGTTTTTCAATCTATTTCTTACTGAATTATAATGTTAAAATATGACCAAAAGTTACATGTCATATCTGAGGTATGGCTTTTGTCATTAGTATTTAATAGATCCATGTGAATTTATTTATAGTATGATTACAACACATAGTTCATTGATTTTTAGCACCACAATTCTTTTATTTTCTTATTTTTACTTTATTTTTGGCTTTCCTTTTGTAACAAACCAACAAGCTTTATTTTTTGTTTGTCTTTTTAAAGCAAGACCTGTTTTAAAGTAAATGAAATCAAAATATTTTAACTTCTATATAGAAATAGTGCTTTCTTTTATTTATATATAATTTCTGTTTATTTTGTTATTTTTTAATTAAAATAATGAAGTATCTATAAATAAAAAAATAAAAAAAAGTATAAACAGAAAATATATTAAATATTTGTTGGATTTAATACATTTCCTGTGAGATGTATATTTCTTTACACTACAGAAAATACTTGAGATTAAAAGTGTTACAGAATATACAAATTTTGCCAAAGATGAAGTCTATAGATGTATCTATAAATTAATCATTAAATTTTGCATGTAAAAATATAAGTTAAAGTTAATTATATAAACATTGCATGTAATTTCATATCACTCTTAGTTGTAATGTTTATTCTTTTTAATTTTTTTTCTAAAAATGAATTCTTATATTTTGTTATAAAGCAATTAATGCTAGTAATTAAAACTAGCAATATTTTTAGGTTTAAACGGTTTTCTTTGTAAAAAAAAAAAAAAAATGGTCAGTTTTCATAAAAGATAATGAATTATGTCATCAAGCAATACTTTCATTTAATTTTTATTTTTTCTAAAATATTGCACATACCTTTTGGCATAAAGGGTTGCTACACAAACTCTCCAGTTATGGAATCTAGTAGAGTCCTTACAATGATCAAGTCCTTACTATCAGGTAGATCCTTCAAAGTTGTTGTTGATTGCCATGTTTCTGAAGCCTATTAGATCAATGCCAGCATCCCACAAGGCTCACTTGGTCTTACCCTCTTTGTACTTTATATTACCAATCTGCCTAAGAACATTCTCAGATTGGTCAGAGACTGGCAACCTATCTTTCCTCTAATCTAGCTCCCTAACAACCCAATGGGGGAAAAACTGGCTTGTAACTTTCAATATTTCAAAAATCTAGTAACTTTCATCATCAAACTGATCCTAAATTCCCACCAGTTTTGATAAATAATTACACTTTTAATGTGACACCTTCCTTTGAGTGTATTGGGACTCGAGTTCATCCTAGACCTCAAGTGGAGATCATATATATGATCCATCACTAAAGTTACTGGAAGAATGGTTGGCTCTTCATAATGCTCCAAAAAGTATCTATCAGCCATGCTCTATCTTTACAAGAGTCAGATTGGAAATGGAGTATTGCTGTTATATCTGGTCTGGAGCTGCTCAATCCTCTCTTTCTAGCCTTAACATAGTTCAAATGCATTTATGTGGCCTTGTAGGTGATGAATTATTTTCCACCCTACAACCTCACTCCCACACACAACATTGCATTCCTCTTGCTGCTCTATTGCTATTTCCATGAAAAATCTTCTGATATGCTATATTGCCTGTCTCCACCAGTTCTGACATTTACAGCTAAAACCCACCATGCTATGAACATGGGACCAAACCATCCTCATTCCCTTTATATTGCATTGGCAAGAAGGAACTTCTGTTCAGACTGCTTCTTCTCAAGAGCAAATACTCTATGGAACAGACTCACGAGTGGTTACTTCCCCAAACAGTACAGTCCTAACTATGATAAAGGTTGACCATGGACTCTTCAAGTCCATGGTCCTTTACCTGTCATACATATCCTCATAACCTGCACTTACTTTTTGTATGTATATAGGAGAGGGAAGTATTTCGAATATTAACTCTGAAAAACATTTGTCTTTATTGTATCTTTTTTATATAATTGAATGCTTGTTTTCATAAAACCAAAATAATGCAAAATATCATATTAAACATTTTTACATTTCATGGACCTTTTGAGAGTTTCAATCCAATTTTCACTGTTACTCTTAAAGTTTATATCTCCAAATCCTATATCTAATAAAATTACTGGATAGATTTAAGTTAAATTTGAAATGGATGTGCCTTTTTTGACAGATGGAATGTGTTAGACATATTTGAATTTCTCTAAATTATGAAAAGAATTAATATTTTAACATGTTTCTGACAGTTTCATCACTATAATAAATTAGTTACTTGTCCTTTTTGACTTGTTAAATTTATTTGAGTTTCTATACTTTACAAAGTAATGGGAATAATTATATTGAAATTGCACTAAATTAGTTAAGAATAAATTCCCTTCCAGTAATCCATAGGGCAGGTAATATTTGGAATTACTATCAATAATAAACATATACAGTGGGGTTGAATAAGTGATCGTACACATGGAAATATTTCATATTTTTATATGTAACATATTAAATTAACAAAACTGGAATATATCTACTGTATCAGATTGCATACTAAAAATGTATGCATATAAAACTAAATAATATTCCATGGTTAAGAAAATATAGGAATATTTAAATTTTTAGGGGTTTAAAAAATGATCATACAGCAGAACAAAAACATGTTTTCTCCATTTAATATTTTGTAGCAAAGCTTTTATTAAGTTCAACAGCCACCAATCTCTTTCTGTAGTCTTTAATTAACAATTCACATACTTTAGTAGGTAATTTGTCCCCTTCTTCCTGAGTAATTGTCTTCAGGTTTTTGATGTTTATTGGACCTCTATCACGGATCTTATTTTTCAAAAACCACCATAAATTCTCTATTGGATTCAAATCCAGCGACTGACTGGGCCATTGTAAGAGGTTAATGTTGTTATTAGCAAGCCAATTCTTCGTACTCTTAGCAGTATGCTTGGGATCATTGTTCTACTGGAAGATCCAATCAGAAGGAAGCCCAAGATTCTCTACAGAAAGCGATAAATTTTCACTTAGGATTTTTTAATATTTTTCTGCATTCATTCTACTGTCTATAATTGCTAGTTTGCTAACACCTTGCATCGAAAAGCAGTCTCAAACCATGATACTACCCCACCAGATTTGACAGTTGCTATGGTGTTCTTGGGTGCATATACTTTTCCATCTTTCCTCCATACATGATTCAGGGAATTGTGACCAAACAACTCAATTTTACTCTCATCTGTCCAAAGAACTCTTTCCCAATAAAAATTTTCCTTATCTTTATGCTCTGTCGCAAATTTCAACCTGGCATCTGTATGCTGTTTCAGAAGGAGTGGTGTCTTTCTTGGGAAGCACGACTTTATACTGTCTCTGTGTAGTTCATTACTAATCATTTGCTTAGTTACGTTAACTCCTGACAAACTCTGATCATTCTGAAGGTCTTGTCTGATGGCCATTGGGTTATTTTGGACCTGTTGCATCAACTTTCTTCATAATCTGGGAGAGATCTGTTCTCAACAGTATTACGTCTTTTAAATCTTGCAATAAATGAACCAATTATTGAAAAAGGTATGTTCATGTCACTGGAGATGTTTCTGTAACTTTTCCATTGTTCTATAGCTTAATAATTAGCTCTTTTTGAGCACGTCATTTCCTTATGTCTAGCCATTATTAGAACCGTTATCAGTGAACAGTGACTGTGGAATGATCCAATTTTGAACTGAATGTTGCAATAGTTACCGAGAATATTCTAGAACAGTTTAGAATCTTCTACTTTGAAGTACAACCAAAATCTACCATATTATAATGCAAAAATTGATACTATACAAACACTTTTTCCACTATTCGAAATATAAAAATTTGCATAACTATCACTTATCGATGAATTTCTAATTTAAAATTGCAGATTCTGATTCTATGTCCCAAAATACATATATAGCGTTGTTATTCGAGGTTTTCATTCACTATAAGTAAGAATAACAAGCATTTGTTTGCTGTATGATCACTTATTTAACCCGACTGTATAATTCTTTTATATAATTAATTTTAAATTATTTAAAATATATATATATATATATATAATGAATCACTTATTATTCCACTATAAAATTATTTCCAAGAAGAATTTCTTATCCCATATAATTTGCTATTTGTATTGGAAAAATAGATGAAAATGGTGAATTTTCTCAGTGATTGTCTTGTTCTAAAATGTTAATTCATTTCCAAAGTAGATTTTCAATATCTATAAATCTTCTCTAGGTGGTTCTAGCTTTACAGCAAATATTTCCCTGAAAAGTAGACCTTTCATTTATATTTTATGAATTATCATTTAGCAATGAAATTAAATGTTTTTATTATATATTAAATGAAGCATCAACCAAAATGGTTCTTGATAATTAGGAATCTTCTAGAAAGTCATTAGTGACCTATTTGTATTACTAATGGGTGTTTACTACAAGCTACATTATAATTTTAAGAAAAATATCTAAAAAAAATCATGGTTTTTTTATCAAGTATTGTAGCCTAATTTTATCTTTAAAGATGCTGGGTTTGTTAAGTCATCATTTATTTTATTAGAATTATATCTCTTTTACAATAGGAGCTTTTGTATTTTTCCAAGATAATTTTTTTTTATTTGCATATAAATAAATATTGAGATGAACTGTAAGATATCTACTGAAAAAAAAAACTGTTGTGAACATTTTTAGGTTAGATTAACTTACCTAAACTACGGTTTATTCGTTGTTTTTCTTTCTTTGCTAACCTGCTCAATAATTCTATCTTTCAGAAGTAGAATTGAAGTTTTATTCCTGGAATCCCTCTTTCTTTTCAGCAGTAAATAGCAAGAAACTCAAGACATATCTTAAATACTAATTTTAGTATAAGATTAGTAGTGAATAGGTACATCTAAAGAAATGGTCTAAGTATTACAAACAAAAGTTACTTAATATGTTCTCTTTTGTCCAACTAAAAATGCACCTTAAATTAATGGTGATTAAAACAGCAAAATTTTGATGAACATGGTTAAAGGAAAAATGTAACTTCAATTTTTTTTTCACTTCTCATTAATGTTGTTTCATCTGTAAGATCACTTTTCTTTGCTTATGCAAAATATAGTAAGTTTAGAAAATAATGTATTTGAGATCTACAATTTTAAAATTAAACCACCAAAATGACATCTAGCATATGATTTTGATGCTCACTTGTAGGCTAGTTTCTGTTTTGTTTAATTATGCATAGTTTTCATTGTGTGATAACTTTTAACCAAAGTGGTAAGGATTGTTAATGTTATTGTATACTGTATGAATTTTATAAATACAACAAAAGCCACAAGGTATTTTGTTTATTTACATTCAATGAATATATGAATATACCAGATGGTTTTCATAAGCTTGGAAAAGGGGATTGTAATCTCTGTAAACATTTCCAAGGAACAATAACGAATTTCAATAATGATCTATTGAAAGTTGAAGTTGATTTTCATCAAAGCACTAAAAACTGAATGCCCCAGTTTCTGAATCATAAAAATCTTTTAAATAAAGTTCTATTTTACTCTAGATAGCAAACTGTTTCATGTTGTTTAATGAAATTAATTCTCAGCTATGAGCCTCTACTGTGTGATTTGCATATAACTCTGTCCATAGTTTTTGCTATCATTTCTAAACTAGATCCCTATAAAACCTCACTTGATGGTATCCTTGCAATAGTCCTATAAAATGTGCTCTGAAAATGGCTACTGTTCTCTCTGAACTCTACAATAAATGCCTTGCTGCTGCTTGTTTTCCTGTTTGTTGGAAATCCTTTTCTTTAGTTCCTGTTTTTAAGAAATTGGTGATTCTTCTAATTATTGACCTATAGACTTCTATATCTAGAAGCTCTAATCAACTCCAAATTGATTAAGCATCTGACCTTACAGGATCTTCTTTCAGGCAAACAATTTGGCTTTTGCTTCTCTCATTTAACTGCTGATGTGTTAAGTTATTGCTGAAAGCCTGTCAAACTTTAAATAAAAATGAAGCGCAAGCATTTGCTTTAGACATCTCAAAAGTGTCTGACAGTTTGACATACTAGTCTTCTTCACAAGTTGAAGTTTGACAAATGTTTTGTTTGATTCAATCTTTCTGATCAAATCAAAATGAGAGTATTCTTGAAAAGTCACTCTAGATTTTTTTACATTAATGTGGGTGTCTCCCAGGGCTCTATCCTTGGACATACTTTGTTTCTAATTTTCATCAATGACTTCCCAGATGTCATCAGTTCCCAACTCTTTCTATGCTGATGACACAACTATTTATTCTTATCTTGATAGTATGTCTAATTGGTTCAATAAGGTCAAATTTACAGCTAGTCTAAAAAATTACTTACAATCTGTTGTTAACTGGAGTAAGAAAAGGCTTGTTAATTTGATTTCTTCCAAAACCACTCTTTTAATTGTCTGAGATAACTTTTTTTACCTTTCATCAGCCATGTTGATAACAGGTAAAAAGGAGTGACTTATTGCACATTCTCAGGTGAACGTTTTCTACTGACAGGATGTGGAAAGATTATATTGAACCAATTGCTAGGTCTGCTGCTTCACTGTGTTGTGAGCGACAATTTTTCTCACCAGAATCTATCTTACACATTTATAAGTCAATAAGTCTTCCATGCATTGAATATTACTGCCACATCTGGTCTGGTGCTTCTGTTAATTATTTAGAGATTCTTGATAAAATACAAAAAAAAAAAAAGAAAAAATTTGCAGTGTTATTAGTCCTGACCTAGCATCTTAGCTTTAGTCACTTTTCCAATATTCTGATGTAGCTTCCTTGTGTCTTTTCTATAAATATTTTCATGGAAACTGTTCTGATGAGCTTTCCTTTTTGGCAACTCAACTTTATGAATTGTAGTGCATTACTAGATTGGTAGCTAGGTCTCACCATTTTGCAGTTGAAATTACTAAATATAACCATAAATTCTATGCTAACAGTTTCTTCCCTTGCACCTCTTGCTTTCCTGTCAACTTTGATCTTCAAAAATTTAAATGCAATGTCAATTGTTATTTTCTGTTTTCTTATTTCCTATTCTTTTCTTGTTCCCTCTGTTAAATAATGATTTCTTCTGTTCCTTCACTCAGTACCCCCCCATTTCTTAGTGGCTTTATCACCTTGCTTGGGGTGAAATAATTAACAAAAATGTCAAAACATTTTTATCTGGCAAATTCAAGAATTGAATACTTTCATTAAACTAGATTAAACAGTTTACTATCCAGAGAAAATAAAACTTCATTTATAAGTTCAAGAAAAAATGATAATGCAAGAAGCAGTGAAAACTTTAAACAGCTAAATTAGCATTTCACCCATATATTTTTGTACTGGAATAAATGACATTCACTACAAACTTAGAGTAAGTTTATCACAATAGTTTCAGCATTAACTTGAATAAAGATTTATGTAAAAAAAAAAAAAATTCTGATTCAACAGCCTGTTAATACAATACATGCTCCACTTGGCAAAATGAATAAATTTCTAGGATTTTGAAGTTCTATCGCATACTTTCTATTTACCAGATTTAGTAGATTTTATCTGAAGCCAACTTTGGTGCCAAGCCTATTCATGGTACACCTGGTAAGAATGAAACTTACCTGCAAGTCTGTAAGACTATCATGCTAACCATGCTCCTGAAATTTGCAAACTATTGTTATAAACTGACAAATTTGAGAGGATCATTTGACACTAGACACAAAAAAGGCATCCAAAGACTTTGATTTTATTTCATTTTATTTCATGTACCCACATATGCATTGTTCCATGAAGTAAATAGTGTATTGAAAAGAGATTAATTATATAAAACATTTTATTTATATAATTAAATTACTTCAACTAAATGTCTATTGTAAAATAATTGGAAAATTTTAAGCATTTGTATTATATTGCACTACAGAAATGTAAGTTTAAGTGTTCTTGGCATTAAACTGAAATAATCCTTTCAGCTTCTGTTGCAATAAAACTTTGTGTATCCTTTGTTTCTTGAAGGAAATTGAATGAAATTTATTCATTAGTTATCTATATACATATCTATATTGGACATTCTGCATATTAATTAGAATTTTTCACCAGTTGAGATGCAGGTAAGGACATAAACCTTTGACCATAAAAGATAGTAAAAACAATGGGTTGGTCAATGTAGCTAATATTAGTTATAAATTTTATGAACCCTGTTCTACATGGGATGTTGACTTTATACTCTATTTAAAATTATACATATTTAACTCTGATTTTTCATGGGTTTCTACTGGCTGATTTTAGAGAGAAAAAAAAGCGTGATTCACCGATTCAACTGACTGCTGTCTATTCCACTATGCTTCTTGTTAGTATAAGAAAATACATTCCCTCTCAATTTCTGGAATCTATCTCTGCTGGACTTCAGATACAGTCAGCATCATTTGGCTAAAACCATAGGAGCACTTCTTTTTTTTTTTTCTTTAGCTTAACAAAAAGCTGGAATCACCTAAATTTCTTGTGCAACCAAATTTATTTGGTATTAAGCCATCTTTACTAAATATTGGTTCATAGCCAAATATTGAACAAGCTGTTCTGAAAATTGATTGTACATTTTCTTTTTCTTTCTTTTAAACCAGCTCTCACACTTCATTAAAGGAATTTTTTTTTATTATGGAATGAAAAAATATTTTACCAAAGAAATTTGCTCTTTCTAAAATGATTTTTAACCCTACTTTTTCTATACTTAACCCTTTTCTTTAAGAGTTGAAAGTTTTAGGATTTACATGAGTAAAGAAATGTCTAAGATGTTTGATCTTCAAGATCAAATCTTAATATTCTTTCCTAATTTTAATTACAATTGATTATTGCTCAAATGACACAAGAGTATAAAATCTAACAACAGTTTTATTTTAATGTACCATGTATCTTGAAGGCCTATCAGACATATAAACAAATTTAACTTGAGAATTGTATTCAAAATATCAAATCAAACTTCATTGGGCTTAATATACAAGTGATAATGTTACTCATCAATTTATACAAATTTATTCAGAGCCTACAAAGTCATTTTAAATTAAGATTTTAAGTAGTTTCTCAATTGTAATTTGTGTTGATGTTACATTTAATAAGGTACTACAAAAGCATTTAGATGTAGTTACATAGTGTTTTTAGAACCTTAATTTTGATGCTTACTATATAGGCTCATATTTTATATGGATCATCATAGTACTAATTTAATGTACACTGCATGAGTTTACACAAGATCACTAGAAACCAATCATTTTTAGTACAGCATAATATGGAATTTATTTTCTATGAACTGTCAGTGTGTTCCTATAATTATCAGAATATTACTATTTTTTTTTTTCTCCAAATAATGTAATTTCAGTATTCATTGATTATCAAAGTGGGATCTATGTTCTGCTCCTTTGTGCATTTACCAATTGTTCCCCAATTATTTGCATATGCAAAAGAGATACCTTCGTGTTGAATTTTTGATCTTCCATATTACTAAAGTTTCTTAAGTTTTATAAATTATGCTGAATTTTCCATAGTACAGTCTATATAGTTATTCATGCAAGAAAACTAATAATGACTAAATTCTATTGATCCCTGATGTACCTTATATTCAAAACATTAACTGTTTGTGCTGATGTTTTCTTATTTATTATTAGATGTTTTATACAAGAAGACTCAATCTGGCTTCAAGTGCTTATGGAACCACTATTTGATTAGCTTATTTCTCTTTGTTCACACTGCAATCTTTTACTATTTTTAAAGCTCTAAAAAGTATTTTCTTGTGTTTCAGATGTCTGGATCAGAAACTGACGTGAGTGATTTTGAGATTATTTTTTATTTTTTATTTTTTTTCACAGATGTTAATGTGTCTTTTGAAGCTGTTGTGCCAATAGTCTTCAATTGTATAAGAATTAGTTTAAACTTTTTGTTTCAGACCAGTAATCGCTATATTATTACTTTCAAAACATGAGTTTAAATATTCCTAAACTATGTAGGTCTTTTATTTTTCTCTGCAGTACCATCTTTTTAAATTGATAGCAATTTTTTTTAAATTTATACTTTCTGCTTGTATTTTTTACTTTTTTATTGTGTGATTATATATGATATAAACATAAATTGTACTTGTAGTCATTTAGTAATTATTGGTCTTTACTACCAAGAATACCTTGTTATTTATTTTTGACATTAATTTTGGAAAATTACATTTTATAAATAGTATGTTGAAGTCAAATTTGTAATTTGACCTCTTCAAACATCTCCATTGATTGCATAGACTGGTAATTCAATTAATGTGGATGCTGATTTTCATATGTACAGGGTGCAATGGATAAATTTTCATCTAAATTACACAAAAATGAAAATAACACTGACATCTTATTTCAAGAGGTATATTTACCAAAATTACACAAAAATATCATTAAATACTTAAGAGTAAATTTATTCAATAAAATTGCCATTGGCTTCATCCACAGCCTCCAGACGTCTTTAGAATCTTCTGCAACTCTTCTGGCCAGAATCTCCTTGTTTAAGTTGGTGAATGCTGCCATAATCTTTGCCTTCAGTTCATCTTTGGTGATACAAGGAGTTTTGTTGGTTTCTCTTTTTCTCCCAACTCTATCCGATACATAATAATCAAAGGCGTTGCAGACTGGAGAGCTAGGTGGCCAGATGTAAGGGGTGATGTGGTAGCAGAAATTGTCTGACCGTAATGGTTGGGTTCTGCTGCTTGTGTGACATGGTATAGTCCTGTTGCCAGACATAGGATCTTTCAGCATCCACCCTTTTGACCTAGGGTAGCACTACCTCCCTGCATATGGACCTGATTGACTTGGAGGGATTATTCTTCAATCATAGCCTGGATCTCACCAACAAATTTGAGTTCTTTTATTATAAGTATGATCAGAGCAAGTTTTTTGAGCAGCCCTACCTTCATAATCACCATTAAACTCATACAACTCTTTCCAAATCCTCTGCACTGTCCTCAGATTGATACTCACTCTAAAATGTTTATATTGGAGTGTCCAGCATGAAGCAGTGCAGCATTTCTGGTGGATTGAGTTGTGTCATGGTGACTTTTTTCCAACTGACCCTGCTATACTGTGCAGTCAACAAAATCAAAAACAAACAAAGCACATGTGCAAAATATAAAATTGTGACAATTTACACATCACACTCTGTACTATATCAGCTTGTTCAATTTTGTTTCAATATTAGTTATTTTATTAAAATTAGTTTAATTTAGGTAAGGAAAATCCATTGGATTGTCTGAAATTTTGACTTCTCTTCCTTAAAGTTAAGCTCTAACATATGCCTACAGTGAACTTAGAAATAACAAAAATATTGTAATTTGGAAGAATAAATCCAACATTTTTTTTTAAAACCTGGCTAATTACTTAAAACTAAAAAAAATAAATAAAAGTATCCAATTATTACATTTGGTATCTACTGCCAGTAATATATACAGCACATTTACATTGTAATTACTAAGAAATACACAATTTTACAAACATTTTAATTGTACCCTTTTTTTCTATAAGTATTTTTTGAAAATTTTATTTATTCATTATGAAGATTAAATGATAGAATTGTAGTTGTGGGTGGGCCACCTTTTGTCTCTTGTCAACTAATATTTTTAGATCCAGACCACTACTGATTATTATCCTGGCTACCTATACAGGAGTGTAAAAATACACATATGTTTATGAATTCTTGTGTCCTTTGGGAGAGTGCATCTCCAATAAAAACAATTATATTTGTACACTTTGCGCACATGCACAACACTCTCATAAATTAACTTACCACTTATTGAAACTTAGTGCAATTTGTATGCATATCAGTCATCAGCAAAATCATTTAATATAAGACAAATAGTACTAGATAATACCAAAGTACTATCTAGCACAGTGTAAAAAAAAAACTTAAAATATTCAAAGCTATTATAAAAAAGAAACAATTTGCATTAAATAAAATATATTTCACCACATGGGAATGGCATTTTAAAATGTATATAATACATTTAAGAAAGTTGTTTCTTGTGTTATCAATCTCTATGAAAATGTGCTATACATGACATCACATCACTTAAGACACATATTTGAATTTGAAATGTTACATTACAAAAAATACCAGAACAAAATAAATCCTGTCTACAAAACCGACAGCCTCTAATTATTGATAATAACAGTAATTGTTGAAAGTACTTCAACAAAAGTGAACAAAAATATGAACTTTGGATGGTATAGCCACAATTTTGATTTGGATGTGCAATAACTTATTTGAAAATTGTGAAAATACAATAACCAACTGACCTTGTCAGTTAAATTTAATGCAACCTGTTTAAATTAATTTTTTGTTGCTTAAATATACATTAGCCATAAAATAATAATTAACTAATGCTAAATTTAATTTTGTTAAGACAAAAAAGTTGTTAATACCATATGGAGATATCTTCAACTTCCTTTATGATTTCTTGTATTTTTGATAGTAATCTCTACATTGAAAAGTCATTTTGTTTGTAGCAAATACAATTAGAATGAGTATTATTATTCATGGTTCTAGCGAGCATTTCTGATATATTAAGTTTGTCTTTAAGCATTATTGTATAAAGTTGTTCAATATTAAATTGCCAATTTTTTTTTATTTGATATTCTCCACCCCACCCATACATACAGTCAAATATGAATAACATTTCAACTTGTAATTCTTCTTTTTTACTTCTATGGGTTATACTATTAATGGAAGAACTGAAAAATTTTGGTTCCAAAAATTTTCAAAATTGACAACTTAGTCTTAAAAAAATGAGTAAATAAAAATTTGAAGGTTGTAATGAAAAATTATTGCAAACTTGCAATCAGTCAATGTATGATGGGGTTGATTGCTCCAAAAAATCTGACCAGAAATTTGAATTTTAATTTTTTTGGTTTTCCATCCTTTTTTTTTTTTTTTTTTTATTATTATTATCATTTGAGAGTAATTGACAAAAGAAAATGTTTAATACATGTTTTATTGGAATCGAATGAGGGAGAAAAATATCGGTCACATGAAAAACTGCATTAATCCTGTTCAATGATATGAAATTGATCTATTTTTAGATTGTATAATTAATTGTGATTTTTTTTTTTTTTTAATGGATTTTGTCTAACCAGAGAAGTCCATCACATTGGATGAAAATCTGAAACCTGATCCCAAACTACATCATCCCTCTTGGAGGGTTATAGGGAGTGTTTGATAGAGTGGCCTGGTAGTTTCCTTAAAAAAAGGTTGAGCAATGCATATAAATATTTAGGCCAGTTTGAAATAAGAGATTTAAAACTCAAACACTACCCACTTTGATAAATTGGAATGTTATTTTACTGAATTGTAAAATAAGTTGCAGATGTGGATTTTATTCCTTCAGCCTTTCTGATATAGATTATCTTTAAAGTATGCTGAACACTTTCCTTTTAAAAGGAAGAATTTCTCCATTTGAAATGAAACTGAAGAAACTTTCCATGAATTTATTTTCTGACTGACTTCATAAATCAAGAGAACTAAACTGCCAAGATAGAATAAATGCTTAAAATCTAAAGAATACTTTGCTTTGGTAAAGAATATTTTCAAATTTAAACAAATTGTTTTATATGGAAAACAGGTTCTTTCTTTTTCTTTCTTTTTCTTTCTCTTTCTTTTTCTTTCTCTTTCTTTCTCTTTCTTTTTCTTTCTCTTTCTTTTTCTTTCTTTTTTTTTCTCTTTCTTTTTTTTCTTTCTTTCTTTCTCTTTCTTTTCTTTTTCTTTTTCTTCTTTTCTTTTTTTTTCTTTCTTTTTCTTTTCTTTTTCTTTCTTTTCTCTTTTCTCTTTCTTTTTTCTTTTTTCTTTCTCTTTCTTTTCTTTTTTTTTTCTTTCTTTCTCTTTCTTTTTTTCTCTTTCTCTTTCTTTCTCTTTCTCTTTCTTTTCTTTCTCTTTCTTTTTCTTTTTCTTTCTTTTTCTTTCTCTTTCTTTCTCTTTCTTTCTCTTTTCTTTCTCTTTCTTTCTCTTTCTCTTTCTTTTTTTTTTCTTTTTCTTTTTTTTCTTTCTTTTTCTTTCTTTTTCTTTCTCTTTCTTTCTTTTTCTTTTCTTTTTTTCTCTTTCTTTCCCACTGATGTTCCTGTAAATTTTTTTGCAGTGTGAAAATATTTTTAGATTCATGTAAGATCTTGTGATTAGAATATTAAAGGTGATTAATGAGAGTGTAGTTAATTCATTATTTAAATTTTTTTAACAAAACTATATTTTCTTATTTGATAATTAAATACCTTAAAGTATATATTTGGAAGCTATTTTCATCTTTTATATTTTAATATTATGCTTACAATACAAATTTATCCTTGTACTCCTCCCCCCCCCCAAAAAAATAATGGCAAACAACAGTTATCTTTTTAGTGCAAGTTATAAATATTAATTAAAATTGTTACCTACTGTTAATTTTGATTGCTGTGCAATTATAGCAAAGAAAATATCATCTTGTAAATCCAATCTGATTGCAAGATTTATAGATACAACAACCCCCCCCCATTTAGGGAATTAGAACTGTTTCTGAAACATTGTTATACATGAACCTGAAAATGTATTTGGTACATATCATTGGCTAAATAAATGATTGCAGTAAACTACAGTATATCTCTACTGTATGTGTGATTTGGGTAGCTTGAATGTTTCCAGATCCTCTTTGATTACTTTAATCTGTAACAGCCAATAGCAAGTGTAGCTGTGACTCCATTGTAAAAATCACTTGGGTCATGGCCAGCTATTTTTATTACTATCATCTTAAGGCTGCAGTTATTACCATTTTCCTGTCTGTCTTATGACCTATTAAACATTTGTTTTATTGTTAGTTTTAATTGATATTTAATTTTTATTTGAGATGAGAAAGGAACATTTGGGGTGTTATAGATAAGCAAATTTATATTACTGGATACTGTTTTTGAAGATCTAAGTATCTGCTATTTGTTATTTTTCCTTTTTTTATTTTGAATCTATTTTTTCTATCCATTTTTAAAACCTTTTGTATAATAGTCTTACAGATATTGAAACTCTTTAGTTTAAATCTTAATCTGTAATCACACACCATATATTGTGTAATTAAAGTTTTTAGAATCCTTTTTACATGTGTAGCTATGAAATATCTGCTCCATTTGTTTATATTGAATGAATTGCGAGATACATAATAAAATGGTATCAACATTGAAGAAGAGACTAGGTTTATTCTCAAGTGAATGAGGTCAAATAGATTATCAAAACTTTTAGATAACTTACTGCTTCTTATTCTATTTATGGCTTCATTAAATACCTAAAAATGATACTATTAATGGCAATAAATCAAAATCATCAGGTCACATTTCTATCTTTTTAAATTCTTGAATATGTATCTTTTTTTTTCTTTTTTTTTTTTTTATTGAGGCGGCCTTTTCCTGTAGATTCTATATCACTGCATGCAGTTTATTGTTGTGAATAACTTGGAAAGCAGCCATTCAGCTCTTACCACAGTAACTATTAATTTGTGAATCCTTCTCCCTTCAAACAGCAATTTGCACAAGGGAAGTCTGAGAGACTCTCAGATGGCGATGCAGATGACAAGGATAGGGTAAATAATCCTTACACTCCCATATTTATATTTTGCCTGTTTGCTTGTCTTTCATTTAATTTTTTTTTTTTCTTTCAAGATTTATCCAGAATTTTTATTATATACATGTTATATGTAGTATATATGCATTAATTCTCTGTGGTGTTTTTGTGTGTGATGTTTAGATAGTTGCATGTGTATTCAACATGAGTGTAATCTGCATGGATATTTATTATAAACAGTGGATACTAGCCTAAACATTCTTTCTCACTTGTTCTTCTTTCAATCTTGTTGCTCTTTGGTAACATTTATTTGTTGTGTATTATTATAAACACTTGATGTTCCTTATTTAGGTAAAAAGAAAAAGAAGTTATTGCTTAGAAATTTTGCATGAACATTGTTCATTCAATCTCCTGAAATTAAATACTTGACCTTATTTGTGCTATATTTGAATTCATCAACTTATGTGGTGCTGCAATTCTTATAGCATTTTTTAGTTTTGTTATCTGAACTGGAGGATTAATAAAATGTAAATTGTATCTTGAGTTTTACTAACAAAAACAGTCTTCTTTATAGTCATCAGTTGTTGGCTCTGCAAATAGTTGTTGAAAATGAAATAATTCTATATCCTTATTGAATTTATCACACAAAAAGTGTTTTTTTTTTGTTTTTTTTGTTTTTTTTACTGTTAGAGAAATATTTTCAGATTCAAAATTATTTGAAACTAATGAAGAAAAAAAAACAACTATACTAATATTGAATACAATTTATAAAAATAAATACATTAAGAATCCATTAGTTTTTATTTGAAGTTTTGTCTTGTAATATTTTAAAACTTATTTTTATAGATTCCCAGCCATAATAACCACATTTTTTTATTGATTTATTCACCAGCTATTATAAAGTTACATAGTATGGATCTGTTTCAACAGTTGTAATCTCTATGATTGATTAAAAATAATGCTACTATTAGGCAAAATTTATTACCTTAAAACAACTGTAAAGTTACAGTTGTACTTTTCATTCAAAAACATTTACATTGATAATCTTAAGAGTTACTTATTTCAAAATGGTTATCTACTGTCTCCAGCTGAAAATTCAATTTTAACAGCACTTTAGGATAGTTATATTTAAGAATGTCAGATCTTACAACTGTGGATGTGCAGGTGGTGTAACAGCAGCATGGAATGAGGAATTGAAGAGCTGAATTTTAATTTCAGTCAGGTTCATTACATTCACTTATGCGCAAATAACCTTGGGGAAAGTATGAATCCGTCTCCTCTCCCCAAGCTATAAGTTAAATAGGACTTTTATCTGGAAAATTTATCTCAAAATATTTTTAATGCAATATCCACTCACCAAAAAAGAAAAAACAAATTCTTACAATCCAAAATGTGTTGGTTTAATAATCCACAAAAATCAATCAAATCAATCTTATAACCTTCAGTAATATATTAAATATCCTCAACACAAATAATTTTGCTTTATATCATTTTGGCTTCATATAACAAAATGTTGCTTAACTGGCTTTTAACAATCTTTTAAAATGTTTCTGAAATTGAAACTATGAAATTTTAAACAATTTCAACTGGGCAAGAAAGATGTCACTTTGTTGTGATAGGAATTTTTTTTAAATAGTTGATTTAATTCATATGTCTGGCAAACATTTTTCTCACTTGCTTTTATGTTATATACAATGAGGGGGGGGGGAATAAAACAACAGCACCCTGAAAGAAGATGCCAATTTTGACCTGGGCACAATATGTGCATACAAGATATTATGTTAAAATTTTCAAAGTCTATAACAACCAAACATTGCACCATCTGTGTGTGAATTTTAAACAATGACATCTGTCATAATGTTCAGCAAGGCAAAAGAGTCCAATGCAAGCAGGTATCACATACCATAGATGTAGTAAATATGCCATGATAGTAGGTTGTATTGTGGGGCCTTTGAGTGGCTGTAGGGTAGTTTCAGAATTGCTCTGCATGTTGGGCATGACACAACAGTGTGTTTTTGATCTTGGTTAAAGTGGTCAAATGAACATTCCTACAACTTGTAGACCAAGTTCTTGATGGCATGCCAAGATTGGTGCAATTGTAAGAGCAGCAGTGGTTGCACAATCTTCAGATCACTGGTTGGCTTAAATTTGGTACCAGGAATGTCACTCTAGACTGTTAGGAATCATTTATATGAAGCAAGTCTATGGGCGTACATGCCAGACTTTCACTTATATCACAACATTGTTATACATGTTTCTATTATTGTCACAAGAAGGCCATTTATATATGCAGCAGAGAATTGAGAGGAACATTGGGATGAGAGTGCCATAAGTTACAGCTCTTGTTCATCTTCAGTGTTTGGAGAGAGAATATTGAACAGCATATATATATATATATATATATATATATATATATATATATATAACTTTGTTCAGTTTTGCTGCCATCTCTGCAATAAGGTGATTACTGTTCCAGTCAAATAATGTCCACTCACATGATGCCTGTGCTGTTCACCAATCAAATGATTTCCAGATCTGTCTCCCCACCCCTACACACACATTAAACTCCAAGTCTAGCATAACACGTGCAAGTAGCACAATGTATCACAGGATGGTATTTGCCCAACTATATGATTGCATACATGTTTGAGCACAGGCCTATGTTAACACCCAAGGAATATATATATATATATATATATATAATATATTAATATGAGGTTACTGTAGGATCTCCTACACACTATTTACAAATTAATTTCTGCTTACTCATTAAATATTTTACCAGTTATTTAGCTGTTTTTGACTGAATGCTGATACTTTTTCTGCTGCTATCATTGTTATTGAAATAATTCCTATTCCATATTGCATGGTGTCATCTAACAATAGTCTCTTAAAGATCTTGCATGTTTCTATTGTTGGGTTATAAATGTTATCCTTGATTTCTAGCTGTGCTTTCTCTTAAGAAAATGCAGTCTAAAACAGTATATTTTTTGTTCATTTGTAGTATTTCATAATTCAAAATATCTACCATTTATTTTATAATCTTTCAGGTTTACTTCACCTAATAGTGTTTTTAAAAAAATAAATGAAATATCAGAGTTTTTGTAGAATTAGAAAGAATTAACTTCTTGGATTTCAAATGAACAATTTACCTTACATGTTCTTAATTCATTCTTCACTGCATGTGTTTTATCCAACTTCAGGTCACATTAGATGTGTGAGTTTTATTTTTTGCCAGATCAGATCTTATACTAGTTTCTTTTTGCTATACGAAAAATATTGCATACTATGCATTTTTAATATTTGTTAGACTTATGCTTGTCAATCTTCAGTATGTCCTTGTAAATCTTCCATTCATGTTTTCATGCCATCATACAAGATTATTTTTCTTTTACATTCATTTATAATTGGCAAAATTGGTGTAACAAAAATAAGGTTTTCTTTATTTCTTTTCTTTTTTTTTTATTCACTTTTTTGATAATTCTGAAATGTTGATTCTTTCCCTTGATGTGCTTGATAATATATGCAAATATTTTTTTCCAGATATAAATATTGAAAGAAAGTATATCACTTGAATTTGTATTTACAGCTTTAAAAGAAATTAAAGTGATAGATGAAATTGCCTATATTATTTATCATTTTTTTTGTTTGGCAATATTTTACAATTTGAATAACTATATTCAAGAAATTAATAACTAGCCTAGGTGAAATGGTTCTTAAACTATTTTCTAGCCTTTTTACATATCTGAAAAGTAATTTTATAGATATATAAGCTTGATTATGCTTTTATGATACCAAATTTTCACAGTTGATTGGATAACTGTATGATGCTGATGCCTCACTGTTTTGTTTTTGTTTTTTTTAATCATTTCGCTGCCAAGCAAGGCAATAAAGTTACTAGGAGTTAGTGAGTATTAAAGAATATAAGAGAAAAAAAACATTATTAAAGAGAGAGAACAATAAAAGAACTGGAATTAAGACATAAATCAATGATTGACATTACATTTAAATTTTTAGCATAGAACTTTGTTACATTTAGCCATTTCAGCTGGAAAATGAGAACTTGCCACCAATCAAGTACTACACTTAAATTAATAAAGTCTAGGTACAATAGAGGAAAGTTCATCAGAACAATTACCATGAAAACATTTATAGAAAAGACACAGGGAAGCTATGATACAGCAGTGGGAAAGTAACTGAAGCAAAGATGACAGGCCAGCATTTTCAAGATGTTAAAAATAAGCCATTTCTTGACTCGGTTAACAGATTATAGGTCATTTTTTTAAATTGGTTGCCAATTTGACCTCATCAAACTGATCAGGTTTACTATTAAGACTGAAGTAAATGATTATTGTCAACATAGATACTAGGTTGAGAACTGATAACATCAGGCAGGTTGTAGATGAAAATTAGGAACAACATAGGCCCAAGGAACACCTGCATTAATGCAATAAGATCTAGATGAGTGGTCATTCAAGACAACTTTAATTTTGTGATTTGATAAAGATTGAATCAATTCAAAAATTTGTCCTCAAAATACCATAACCGTTCAAGACCAGCATGCCAAATCCTGTTAAATACCTTCGAGCTATCCAAACCAACAGCCCAAGCTTCACCATTCTTACTTAATGCTTGATAGAATTGTTAATACATCAGCAGAAGTGAAAGCCATATTGCTTATCTGAAAGAAGACCCTTCTGGGTGAGATACTTAATCAATTCAGAGTTGGTTAGAACCTTTCCAATACTTTGTCAAAAAGAAGTAGAAGACTAATAGGCTAGAATAGTTAGAAGGATGAAACAGTTCATCTGAGTTTTTAAGGACTAGAACTACAGAAGAGGTTTTCCAACAAACAGGGAAGCAAGAAGCAGTAAGGCATTTATTGTAGAGTTTATAGAGAACAAGAACCAGTTCAGAAGCACATTCCTTAAGGACTATTGTAGAGATATCATCAAATCCACATGCTTTGAGGAGGATCCAGTTTAGAGATGATAGCAGAAACCATGGACAGTTATATGCATATTATTCAATAGACACACATTTCTAAGTGGAAAGTCTGGCAAAGATACTCCCAGATGAGTCAAGAGTAGAATTTGAAGAGAATTTATGAGCAAAACATTCTGCCTTATCAGCAGATGTTAACACCTCAAACTGAGTGAAGAGAAGAGGAATAGACAAATTATTCTTATTTAACATAGTTTTACAGAGCTGCCAGTAGACACAAAAACCAAATTTGTTAGAGATTATACCATGCCTCATTCTGCAACAGATACTTAGCCTCTTTGAAGACACATTTACAATTATTACGAGCAGTCACAAAGCGGTGTGTGTTGTGATTGGAACAATCATGCTGGTACAGCCAGAAAGTGATTTCTGTGTGCTATATAGTGGCTGAACAGGCTGGTATGAACCAAGGAGAATATTATGATGAATAAGTATGAAACCCCCAATTTTTTTTTTTTTTTTTTTTTTTTTTAGTCATTCTTGCACATTTTTACTAGTATCTTAGTTCCTCAACTTTTGATGTCTCAAAGGTATTACAAATTGTAACCACACTTTTAAAAACCCTTATATTTTTCTTTTTGATTAGATATTATTTTTAAAATAAGTAATATAGACGATGCCTTGAAACAAGTTAACATTTGATAATATTAATGTGAAGATGCCCAGAAGAGAAACCATCATTTTATAAGATTTGAAAGATTTAATAGCTGAATTCATTATGAGACATGTAAAATGGCCTCCAGCTGTAAATGGCATGTGTAAAAGTTACCTTGGGTAAGTTTTACACATGTAAATGCTTTTTCTATGATTTTTATTTTTACAGTAATCTGAGAACAAAGAAGTTCACTGAAGCTTATTATTTTCTAATGACTAACTGACCAACAACAGCACTGAATATCTTTACAGATTTTTTTCAAAATTGAAACAAAATAAATTATTCATTTAATTATAAATTTCAGATCCAGTTTGATACTGGCAGTCCTAATCTCCAAAGTGATACTGGTGGGTTTCAAGTTCCTTATGTTGGTGCCACTGGTTATAATGACAGTGAGTACATTTTTTTTTTATATTGTATGTAATTAGATATTCTAAAAAAAAAAAAAAAAATGAATTAATTTTTTTTTTTTTTTTTTTTTAGCTATGATATTTAAGGTTGAAATAAGACAGAGACTTTTAATAATTTAGTGAATATCATAAATTACCTGAAAGTGGTCAATAATAATAATACTTTCAAATATTTAAATTTTCTCATTGAAATCTCCTGAATCTGTTAATATAAACATTGGTTAAAAGTGACTATATTTTTATCTTCACTGTCTTAACAATTTTAGTAGAATTTCTAACTTTAGTAGTCTTTGATATTGCAACTGGGCTGTAGTTTTTATTTCAAATTGTCTTAAACACGGTTTGCTTTTTATTGTCTTTGTCTAGATTCGCCATCACAACGTCGAAGATTATCTTCTGATTTGGAGTCTGCCCGTCCATCATCTCTGGGAGAGGAGGAGTTACAATTACAGTTAGCCTTGGCTATGAGTAAAGAGGAACATGAAGAAGAACTTAAAAAGCAAAAAAGTGATGACATAAAATTAGCCATGGCAATAGAACAAAGTAAGAAAGATTCGAGCGATGAGGTAAATAAACCATTTCCTGCTTATTTTTCTCTTATCTGAACCACATTCTGTTCATATTCCTGTGAATTTGTAATTCAAACCCTTTTTAAAGGGATTTTATATATGGCTATAATGGTAGGACACAAAATAAGAACAATTTAGTAGATTCATTTGGGGATATATCTCTGTGCATAAAAAAGTATCTAGAAAGTAATCTGTTATCATAATGTTACTATGGGCTTTACCATTACTGATTGTATGGTAATTCGAATTAAACATTTGCTCTGTAGTAGTATGCTGTACTTGGAAAGAATAGGTTTGACGGGCATCAATATGTTGAAACTGTTAGGCTTTTTACTAATGCAGCTTCAGACATTTACCAAATGGGCATTGGTATTGACACTCTGTAGCAACACCCAAGAAACAGTTCATTTAAGTAATTATAAATCTTGATGGCTTACCTATGTATGAGATCATCAATTTAAAAAACAAAACAAAAAAATGAACCTTGTATGTTTTTTGCATGGGCACTTTTTTCTTAAGCAATTACACTGACACTTTGCAGACAGATATCTCTCTTCCTGCTATTAGGTTTTGTAATGTGACTTAAAATTTCAATCATTAAAATCAAAAAGGTAATATTTATTGTTTGGGCTATTTCTCAAAGATGTAGCTATTAGCAAATCAAAAAAAGCAACCTTTTTTAACCTCAGTTACTATTAGTTATTGTAATGTTTTCTTTTTTTTTTTTTTTTTTTTTTTTATTTGTAAACTGCATTTAACAATATCAAGATGATGATATTTGATTTAAAAACAAAGGTATTTACCATATAGAAAAGATATCCTTATGAAAGTATTTATGTTAAGGTCTATTAATTCTTTACTAAGTTTAGCAAGCACCTCCCAAAAGTAGTTCTGCAAGAGATAAAATAACCTACTGGAGAAATAAATGTACATTTTTCATTGGCATAAATAGTAAAGAAAATAATTCTATCAAAAGAATTTTTTACAAAAATAAATAAGTGAATATGTGTAGATATTTTGTCTAATAAAATAGGGATGTGTATTAAAAAGTATAGTTTTGATATTAGGGAATGTAATGAAATTTGTTTCATAGCTAACCAAAATAGGAACATTTCAAGATATATGAAGTAATAATTGAGATATCCTTTAAAATGCTTTAGTAAATATTTTTTTAAAATAAAAGACAAAAAGCTAGAAATATTTGAATAAAAGAAATGTACATGTAAATTGTCAGATAATTCTTTTCTCATAAGATTAGTTGATATATATATATATATATATATAATAATCATTGCTGTTATAAATCGACAGTTGATAACAAGTCTGTCGTTCATTTTTTTCTTTTTAGTCTTTAAACTAGAGAAAATGGATTATTAAATTAATTTTTTTTATATCTCTTGACTGGTTATAAAACATTAAAGAAAATTCCAAAGTGATTTCTAACTGTATGTTTATATGTTCAGTTATAATGTACACTATACTAAAAAATATTACTAAAAATGAATTTATTTCTTATATTGAACTAACTTTAAATTGAAGGAAAATTAAATATGTGGTATTACCAGAATGTCTGCTTGGTAGCTTTAATAAAGAGGAAGAAAACATGCTGGTAAAACATAAAAATATCAAATTTTGCAAACTAAAAACAAAAATTAATGTTTTCCTCAAATTTTCAGATTACCATTTTAATAGAAATGTTTCTTTAACTTATTGTTAAAGTTTTATGTTTGGATTTTTGAGATGAATTATCATTATTTCTTTCCATTCAGACTAGTGTACTCTTGGTTGTTATACTCATGTTTTGGTCACCATAATTTCCAATAACCTTATCAAAATTTTGAATTGAACCCTTTAGTCAATCTACAGGTTTAGATAGTTCTTTCACTTTCTGTTTAATGGATTTTTTTTTTTTTTTTTTTTTTTTTTTTTTTTTCAGTTAATTATCTCAGCTATTCATCTGTGTTGCTTGTCCATTTCCTCCACTTCAGAGTATATGATTTTTCTGCACTACCCAACCTGGTATTGAACTCACAACTGCCAGGAAACCAAATACATTTTAACCAATGATTTAATCCACTAAACAATGTGTTGCTTAGACAATACAGTGAAGACTTAAACCTAATGCTTGTACTCACAAGATAGAAATTTTGAGTGATCTTTCTTTTCTAATCTGAGGTTTCCAAATGGTTTTTATCTCTATGCTAGGTCTACTTAAAAGGATGTCAATGTCTAACATGTGTACTGATTCTTTCAGTCATGTTTTCTCCTCCAGTGTTGATCTCTGTAAATCATAGCTTTTCATCCCAGAAATTCAGATAGATGCAATGACCACTACACATCTGGTGTGACTATGCAACTGCATGAAAACTACTTATTACTATATAACAGTTTAGTTCCTGTTTTTTTAAAAAAAATATATTTTTATTTCTCTCTCTCTTCCTTTTTTTTTTTTTTTTTTTTTTTTTTTTTTTGATACCATTCTGTAAGTTAATAAAATAGTTGACATAAACTTGGAAGCTGTCATATTCATTGTTTTGTAAAATCTAATTGGAAAGGATCCTAAAATGGATAATTTTTATTTTATTTCTCTTTTTCTTTTTTAAAGATATATTGTCATTTGTATGTATATTATCTTCAATCTATTTATACCTTCCAAGTTGAAAATAAGAAATATAATGTAAAAGATATTTCCATTAAGGTTGGACTGAATACAATTGTCTTCAACTAATTTTGTAAATGCAAAACTAATTATTAAAAACATTTTGGATCTAAATTTAAGCATTCTATGTATAAAGCTTTCTTGTGCAGTTCTATCCAAAGATTTTTTTACCAGTAAATTTGTAAGATGTTAAAAGAATAGTGTTGATTAAGTTCTTTGTTAGTCATTTTACCTTCAAATTTGTCTAATCAAAATCATGGATGACCAATATGATTCATGAATTTAAATAATTGATCCCATCAGTAGTGAATACCTTTTGCTGTTGTTTACTATCTTCTACCCAAATATTAATAAAATAAATCTGTCTTGCTTGTTTTTTTTTGGGGGGGGGGTGACTTTGCAAGGGGAAATAATGGTTGATGCTCTATATTAATGTCAGTGTACCTGAAACTCATACATACTTGAAATATGAGACTTATGATAATTATAAAATTAGAATATTACTTTCACATAGTTGACAAATTATTTCTTTTTAATAATTAACTAGCTGAACCTGTGGAAATCCTACTGGTTCTGTCAACTAAAATTATTTATTAGCTCATACCTATGTTGTTTTCTCCTAAAATATAAAAATGAAATGCAATAGCACATTTTTACATTTGACAGTTGAAAATTCCAACCTAGCATTAAATATTATTACTAATATTTAATAATCTATTTTCTCTAGTTTAAAGATTAAAAATGAATGACAAACTTGTTATCAACTGTCAATTTATAACAGCAATGATTTTATATATATATTTATATATAGATAACATTTGTGAAAGAAATATAAATGAAAGCAATGGAATGAATAATATCCTAATGGATATGTCATTTGCCTATCACATGGTTGGAGGTTCTTGTATATCTAGTTCATTTAAATGAAGATTCAGGTTACTTCTCAGAAAATATGTATATTATTACAATGTTATTTTTACTAATTCAAATTTATCATTCTTCCTTTACATTTTCCTTGCATGCTAGCTTTCAGTAATTTAACTTCTACATTTATTCAAGACTTGCTGATGAGTCAGTTGCTATTTAGATACTATATTTTCGTTCCTGTGGACAGCAACTGACTCATTGACTTTTTTACACACTTTAAAAGATCAAAGATGAAAAGGAGTAATAAAACTCTAGACAAACACAAATTCACCTGCTTTTTGCATTTTTTTTTTCTTAACCTTCTTCCAATTGTGACTTAGCATCATGGTTGTACATTAGAACATGCAGAATAATAGACAATGAACAATGTATATCTTAATTTTTGTTTTATGATTTGAAAAAAGAATTGCTTTTAAAATATGTAAAACAAAATTTCTTTTTTTTTTCTAGGTTGACTCATTTGAAACGGGACCAATGAATGCCAACCATAAGAACAATACAGATCCATGGGGTGTCCCCATTCAAGAAACTACCACCATCTCAGACCCTTGGTTAGCTGGTGGTGGTGGTGGTGCCAGTGCTGGCGCTGGATGTTTATCCTCACCCAGATCTGCAGCAGCAGGAGGAACAGAGACCACGACGACAGCTAGTGCCTGGGAATCACCTATTACTCAAAAGTCAGCGTCCACTTTGAGAGCCCAAACCCCTGTCACTGACCCTTGGGGTGTACCTATAAGCAGTCCAGAACGGTCCACTCCACAATCAATGTCTACACCTAGTAAGTGGTGATTTTTTTTTTTTTTTTTCTTTATTATTACAATTTTAATGTGACATACTTTGCAACATGTATTTTATATCGCTAATGAAGATATGAATTAGGTTTTTTTTTTTTTTTTTTGTGGCTCATGAACTGTTTTAAAAAATTATTTCTATGATTGTCCACCCTGTAATGGTTGCTAGCACAAAATATATATTTTTAAAAATTCAAAGAAAAACTCCTGTTCCCATAATTAAGGCAGCTTTTATTTATATATACATGTAAAAAAAAAAAAAAAAACTAAAATAAAAGGATGAATCTAACTCTTTGTTGTAAAATATTCAGTACTGTATTTTTTTTAAAAAAATGCATCCTACATGTATGTAATTGTTTTAATAAAAATAATATTTCACAAAACATTTACATTATTTATAACTGGAGTTTCTTTAAGTTTTCAGTCTCAAGATGCAAAAAAAAAAAATTTAGAAATGTTGGCAGATTTTATTTTTCTGCAAATTCATCTTCAATCATTAAAGTTGATAAAAAGATTTTCTGGTATAAAATTCACAGTAATTTTGAAAAATTCATTCAATTTCTTCAAACTGCTAAAAAATTATTTTAAAATCTATAATCAGGAAATCTGTTCAATGTCTGTTAAAATGAATAGCTATATAAATAAAACAAAAACTTTCATTGACAATATACATTTACATTGTAAAAACATTTTTTTTCTACTAGATTTGTTTTATTTTATTTTATACCTCTCATTTCAAAGCCCATAGCTTTAATATGGAAGAAAAAATACATGAATTGTAATTTTATAGTTGTTTGCAATGCATAAATAACGGCAGTTTGATATAAATGGAGAAAATATTTTAAATATTTGTTTTCAGATTACTACTTTTATAGAAACACTGATTTTTTTTTTCCCTCTTAATCATAGATTGTAAAAGTCAAACTATAATCCATATTATGTTAGATATGTGCAGAAGTTCTTGAAAAATAGGCTGAATACACAATTCAAAACTTTTTTTTTTTTTTTTTTTACATTTGTAGACATTTAATAATACACTTGTTATTCCTGATAACTACTTATTCACTAATCATTTAAGTATATAAAGATTATTGCCATGAGAATTTGGGTGTTTGAACTAAAATTCGTAACATTTGACTTTTATCTAATTGCTTTTTCTAAGAAATTATGCACATTACACTAGTTTATTTGAGGCTTGTACAAAAATGATCTTGAAAATGTCATTTCAATATTTATTCACAAATCACTTTAAGGTTCTTATTTATACATGATATTTACTTTTTCAACAATTGTTTGAAATTAAAACTTAAAATAGATTGTTAAAACAAAGACTAAATGTTAATTTTCAATATACATAACTTGTATCCTTTTATTTTTTCTTTATTTTATTAAGGTCATTATTTTTTATTTAATGTAATGTTTTCTAATATGAACTTTTTAATTTTTTTTAAACAGTCCATGTAAGTGCAAAAAAACTGGGAACCCACCAGTTATCTGCACAAATTAACCCATTCACTCAATAGAAAAAAATTATTTTTAGTACACACTTTTTTTTTTTTTTTTTTTTTTTTTTTTTTAGACATTTTGTTTCAGGTTGATGGCTTAAGATATATTAATTTTAGGGTGCTTCCTGTTTAGCTTTAATGAATTTGAGCAAATTTTTTAAAATCATAATTTACTATATCATTTCTTTCATATCCTATGTAGAATATTCCATTTAAATTAGCATCTATGGGAGAGGTTGATGGAAAGTTCTTGGCCTAATCCAATTCCTAAAATCTGATCAAATTTTTTTATCTTGTTTTTGAATCAAGATTTCTTCAGCACCCTCTCTCTCTCTCACTCTCACACACATACACACACACTACTTTTTCATGCATAAATGTGAAAATTATTAGTAGCAAAAAACAAAAAAAAAAAAGATTTCTACAAAATATTTCTCCTTGAGATTTATTTAGTCCAGTTTCTTGGATATCACATTAACAATGGAGTTGAGTGTGAGAGTAAGATGTCTATAACCAGAAAAGAGAAAACAAAGTAGTTCATTTTCATAGAGTAATATACAAGCATGGTGATCATGTTTATATAAATCTCTTTTCATAGATATGAAAAATACTTTTGTTATTGTATGTCATTCTCCAACTTGGCTCCCATTAAAATATTTCTGCTACACATTTACTAATTTTACATCCCATGTGAAGCTGTCATCTTAAAGTTAAATAATACTTTTTGTGTTTTAATTATTACTATAATATTGAGAATTCATCTGGCTTGTAAAAAAAAAAAATACACTGCATCAGTCTTACAAAATATCTAGTTTTCACATTACAGAAAAATTAGCTTTTATTTTTATTTAAATTTGTTGTATAATGTTAGGTCTGAACAAGCCTCTTGAATTTTATACAAACTTCAGAATCAGCTTTTAAGTGAATTTTATTCCTTTAACGTTTGTAACAGTAAATCCAAATCAGTTGTAATTGAAAGAATCCTTGATGTTTGTTAATTTTCTTAATTGTTTTGTAATTATTTGATACTTACCTATTAAATTTTAATTTTATTGCTATGGTCCACTTGATTTTAATAGTTTTATTTTTACTCTGCTGCATCCATTGTCTGTCTGTTTTTTGTTTTTTTTTGTTTTTTTACATGAAATGTGATTGTTGTTCCCTGCTATGCTTTTGTTTTGTTGTTACTGTTGTATTGGAAAATGTTGCTGTAGTACTGGTTATGCAATGTTTGCGAATTGTTAATTTTGTGAAGTGGAAATTTGTCAGGTTCTCATCAGTCAGATCCTTGGACTGTTATCAACACAGGTTCACACCCGCAGTCTGCCACACCACAGAGTCCTTGGGGTTCTAGTGCAGCAACAGCAGCAACCCAATCTCTCCCATCTGTGTCCGATGCCTTTGCTCCTCAAATATCACCTGCTGCTCCTGCAGCCACCAGTAATGGGGTGACAAACAATAGCATTGATGAGGCCTTTGATATGTTGAGTAATCGCAATACAACCACATCCCCAGTACTTAGCACAGAGGACAGGACTGAGGTCTTAGATGGTTTTGATCCTCTGGCTGACCGAGGACGCACAGTTAGTGCTGGTGAAGGTAGTGGTAAGTTATTAGATACATTTTTCTTTATTACCACTTTCCTTGCATTCATATCTTTAACTTCCTACCCTGCATGTTTATTTACACATGCACACATACACAGATACACACACACACATACATATATATATATATATATATATATATATACACACACACACACAATCATGGAAAATATTTATATTTTTTAATAATTTTATACTATGTAGATATTAGTTTAAACCCTCATTGTTATTGCTATGCACCATTTTGTTTTATGTTTGTGTATATTAAATGTTTACCATGTGTCCACTGTTAACTATTTGTTTACTAGATGTTCATTCTGCACATGTAGGTGGACCTAGCCAAGATACTCTCACAAGAATTTCCAATTTGAAGTAAAACAATTTCAAACATTGGGTTTATTGCTTATAACTGATTTATTGAATAATTGTTTACCTTCAATTACTTTCCACAGGAAGTTCAAGTTCAGACCCTTGGCTCATGTCTGGTGTTGGGAAAAATTTACCAGAACAAGATCAAGTAAAAAAGAAAACACCTAAAGATTTTCTTGGTGAAAATGCTTCATTGGTCAACCTGGATAATTTAGTATCAAAAACATCACCCTCATTACCAAAAGGTATGATATTTATTTATTTATTTTTTTAATTACATCATTGCTGTATTTTTTTTTCTAAAATATTGGCATAATCTGAGTAATTACATTGATTATAGGCTTTAGGTTTTTATTTATTTTTTAATTTAAAGTCATTTAATTACTTCTAATTTTAAAAATGTAATCTTTATGTATCTGTTCATATATTTGGTTTATTTTATTAGCTGCAGGAAAAACTAGATCCTTTCATATAATTTTCAGATTTTTAATAGACAAAAAAAATCTTCTGCAGTACATTACTTTTTTAAAATCTTGTTATTGTGAAGATAATTTCCCTAAAAAGAAATCGGTTTGGTTCTGTATCTATCTATCTGTCTCGGGAGACGATGGAGTAGTGCTTTTTTTTTTTTTTTTTTTTTTTTTAAATTCTAGGCGATGGAGCTACATTGCCTCTGGTGACTGTGTAGTCCCATTCTAGAGCAGCAGTCTCTCAGGCACTTGGTGCAGATGAAGTCTGTTCTTGCTTTTCTCCTGGCTCTCTTTACTGCCTGCTGATCTTCCTTGCGGCTTCTGCAATCGTGATGCTGTCACTGACTGTGGCTCTCCAAAGCTGATGATCATCAGCCGCAGCCTCCCAGGTGTTGGGGTTAATGTCAGCCAGCTTCATGTCTCATTTGCAGACATCCTTGAAGCGGAGCTGAGGTCTTCCAGTTGGGCGGAACCCCCCACAGCTCTCTGTATAGGATGACTCTTGGGATGCGGCCGGCACCCCTGCGCCGTACATGCCTTAGCCATCTGAAATGTCTTTGGCAGAGCTGCCTGAACAGGCCGGGGATGCCAGCATGTTGAAGAACCTCTGTGTTAGTGACCCAGTCTTGCCACTTAATGTGCAGGAGATGTCTGAAGCAGCGGAGGTGAAAGGTGTTTAACTTCTCCTGACTGGCGTAAGTTGTCCAGGACTCGCTGCCGTACAGAAGGGTGCTGAGGACGCAGGCCCGGTAAACTTGTAGTTTGGTGTCCTCAGTCTGCTGGCTGTTGTTCTAGATGCACTTTTTTAGCTTGACCATGACTGCAGCGGCCTTCCCTATCCTGGAGATGATTGACCCGAGGTAGGTGAAGGATTCCATCACCTCAAGGTGTGTGCCGTTGATGGCAACGTCCGGGGAGGAGGCGGTGTCTTGTGCCAGGATGTTGGTTTTTTTGAGGCTAATGCAGGAGTGGGCCAGGCAGCTGACTAATTCTTGCAGACTGTCCTCTGTGTGGGACGTTAGTGCAGCATCATCGGCAAACAGCATCTCACGAACCTTGATCTTAGTGTGCAGTCGGGCGATGTTGTAGAACTTGCTGTCTGCTCTAATGTGGATGTAGATGCTCTCCATGCAGTCACAGGTGTACTGGAGAAGCATGGAGAAGATGATCCCAAAGAGTGTCAGCACGAGGACGCAGCCCTGCTTTATGCCACTGCTCACAGGGACGGTATCAGATGCTCCGCCGTTGCAGCAGACTGCTGTGCATGTCCTTGTGAAAGGACTTGACCATCTGGAGCAGTCTTGGGGGACATCCTAGCTTCTTCTCCAGGAGGCTGAAGAGTCTGCTTCTGCTGACCAAGTTGAAGGCTTTCGTCAGGTCAATAAAGGCGATATACAGTAGTTTCTGCTGCTCATGGCACTTCTCCTGCAGCTGGCACAGCGAGAAGATCATGTCCACTGTAGATCGGCCCACCCTGAAGCCACACTGTGACTCTGGGTACACATGGGAGGCGAGGTTCTGTAGGCGTGGCAAGACGACGCATGCAAAGACCTTCCCGACGATGCTGGGGAGGGGAAATGCTGCAGTAGTTATTGCAGTCGCTGTAGTCACCTTTATTCTTATAGAGGGTGACAATGTTGGCATCTCGCATGTCCCGTGGAACATGGCCCTTCTCTCAGCACAGGAGCTCATGGAGATGCCGCAGCAGAGCTGGCTTGCCACTCTTCAGAACCTCCGATGGGATCCCGGCCCTCCCACTGGAGACCCAGTCAATGTGTTTTCTGTGTTCTTCTGTAGAGGGCAGGGCATCCAACTCCTCCATGACTGGGAGACTGGGCAAGGCATCCATCACCATGTTCTGGGTTGCATAAAGCTGCAGGTAGTGCTCCACCCAGTGCTCCAGCTGATTGCCCTGGTCTGTAATAACCTCTCCTGCCCTGGACTTCAGCAGAGATCTTTATGGGAGTTGGGCCGGTGGCAATTTTGATGCCGGCGTACATGCCTCTTGCATTTCCACTATCAGCAGCCGTCTGGATCCTGCTGCACAGGTTCAGCCAGTAGTTGTTGGCGCAGTGGTGTGCAGTCTGTTGGGCCTTGCTATGAGCAGCTCTGAGGGCATCGCAGGTACTGACACAAGGGTTTTGCTTGTAGGCCAGAAGTGCTTGTCTCTTGGTTTCGGGGGCTGGCTGCATCTCATCCCAGTGAGCTTCGTATATGGCATCACGGAGTTGGTGCTATCTACTGTCAATGTCAGTTGCACTGAAGGAGGATGTGTCAACCTTCGTGCTAAAGGTGATTTGGGAGTGGTGAGAGGTCTCAAGGTCATTGGAGCAACAGGTGTTCATGCGGGTGAGGCCTTGGTTTTGGAGCGGTGTATTTTCTTGGCTGTCAGTCTCACTTTGCAGCCTACTAGGGAGTGGTCCGTGTCAGTCTGTGCCGTGGAAGCTTCAAGTGTGAAGAACACTCCTTAGGTCTGCATGCCTGGTGATGACTAGTTCGAGAATGGGGGTGTCTCCAAGAGACTTTGTGGTGTTCTTTGCATTTGAAGAAAGTGTTTGTTTCACACAGTTCATGGTGGCAGTACAGTTCCAGCAGCCTCTGTCCATTCTCATTCATCTTGCCTATGCCCTGATGACCGAGGCAGGAGAGCCAAGTGTCACAGTCAGCTCCCACTCTAGCATTGAAGTCTCCTAGTAGGTATAATCCTTCAGTATTGGGGTTCCTAGACATCATCTGATCCAATGCATCATAGGACTGGTCCCTGACCTCTGGGGTGGCGCAGAGCGTTGATGCAGAGGATGTTGGCGAAATCTGTAGATGTTGAGAGGCACAGTGCTAGGATTTTCTCAGATCCGCCAGTTGATGGTTCAATGGCCGGTATCAGCAAGTTCCTCACAGCGAAGCCTACGCTGTGTTGCCTTGGGTCATGCTGAGGCAGGCCCTGCCAGGAGGTGTAGTTGGCCTCTCTGATGGAACCGCTGTCAGCCAGATGAGTCTCTTGCAGGCAGGCGATGTCAATGCCCAGTCTTGAGAGTTCTCTGTCTATGACCGTGGTCTTTCGAGCATCGTCAATCTGTTGGATGTCATCTGCGAGTCCAGGGCGCATGGTCCGGACGTTCCAGCTAGCTAATCGAAGAGCTGGAGCCTTCGTGTTTTTTTCTTTTCTGCTTGGTGCAGGATTTACAGCTTGCTTGTCAGGAGGATCAGTCTCTGAGCTCTCCACACCCAATAGAGCAGGCAAACTGTGGTGGGACAGCACCTTACTGTCTGAGGGCAGTCCATCTTGAGGCAGGTGGTAGCTGTCCAGTGAGACGCAATGATCTCTCCCACCGATGAAGGTGACCCCCAGGCGCCTGTAGCCTACGTCAATCAGGTTGGGCTTTTGACCGGTAACTGTCACTTCCTGTGTTGCGCCAATGTCTTGGGACATCGCTGGAGTGTCCTCTCCAGTGCACTATGAGCCTGGGCGGGATGTATGAAGAACTATGGATGCCCGGACATCTAGTTCCCCCTCTTGGCCTTGCTAGTAGAGCCCAAAGGAGAGGATAAACTAATACAGTTTGGTACCAGCGTGGCTACAGGAGTTGCTGAAAGGTAGCACAGAATGCCATCCATCTGCCTTAGGGGCTCCACTCCGGATTTATGTAGGGTTTACTCCTTGGCCTTTCCTTCTCCCGAAGATTTCCACAAGGCAGGGGAACTATTTAACCCATAGCTGGGGTTTGGTTCATGGGCACCAGGGCATGTCCACACACCGGTGGGCCTGCATGCCGCATGTTAAAGGGGCCAACTCCTCCCCTGTCCCCTGTAGTTTAGCCAGAGTCCGCAAGGTGCACAGTTACCATGTGTCACCACGAGGAGGCACTATATAGGGCTTGCTGATGGAGAGGCTATATACTGGCAGGGGAAGACTTATGCACTTGGCTCCCCTTTTCGCATTTCTGCTAGGCAGTAGCGGTAACTGAAAGCAATAAGCACTACCACTACAGACTACCACACTAGACACATCACAACAGCCGTTGAGACACACAAAGAAATACTGTTGATATAACTAAAGAACATTTTTGTATAATTACAATTGAAGTAGTATTTGCTTAGAATGGTTTACTGATTTGAAAGAATTAAAAAGCAAACATTCAAAGATGTCAAGTGAGATATTTCTTGTCCTTAAGCATTCAAAATTTGATTTATATTTGCATAATAGAACTTGAGAAGAAATTAATTTTAACATAATTTGTGTGTAACATAGAGTAATTAAAATGCTTCATCTTTGAGAACACTTGAATAATTTTGTTAATGCTTCACTATGTTGAAAATGTATTGGAATAGTAATTTTTATTTGTAAAATTAAACACAACCAGATGTATGAACTATATCAAATAATCTAAGATTATTATTAAGGGGGGAATAACTCCTAAATAACCTCAAAAGTAAGTCATGACTATTTTAATTGCAACACTAGACTATAGAATCTTTATCTACTGTCAGCTGCTTAGCTGTTTAAGCCCTGGCTAGATTCATAAAACCTTACTTTGAGAAAGTATATATACTTAAGAAAGATAGAAACCTTTAATTTCAATTTGCAATAACTTCTAGAAGTACTGAAATTAAACCAGTTTTAATGCTCAAATATGTTTATGGGCAGTTCAAACATTAATTATCTGTCTTCATAGTAATTTAGAATATTTTATATTTATAAATTAATATATTTTAATGTTTATATTTCTTTTGAGACCAACAATTAATAAGTTGGTTTTGTCAGCTTAACATTTGAGTTATGATTTCAAATATTGTTTTACTACAGGTTTCTGTAGAACATAAACAAATAACAACTGTTGCATGTTACTTATCCCTACTAGAAGTAATGCTCAATATAATATTGCTAGTTGCTGTTGCTGCTACTCTTGCTGTATTAGGGAACTGTGCATGCTGCTAATAGATACTGAAGTGCACATACTAGCTAGCTAGCTAGCTCACAATTTTTAACATTTTCTTTTGTTCCCAATTTTATCTTAAATACAACTATAGTAGATTTGATTGATTTCTTTTTAGTCTCAAACTTTTTTTTGCAGCAAACTCCTGGAAACTTTTTCTTGCAAATGCTTTACATATTCAAAAAATAATTTTTCACTAAGACATAATTTCATTTACTTTATATAGTAAATATGAAGGACCAATTACTTTGTAGTTTTATATACAAACCAAATAGAAATAAGTTGTCTTGATGTGCATTCTGATATCTGCCAATTTTAAAAGAAGTGCATTTAGTTTCTCTTTGGATTAATAATTTTCATAAAGTTTTCAGTGCTTCTTTGATGAATTTCTGAAGAAATTTAATGGTTATTATATGCATGACAATTTAAAATGTTGTTTTTGTGCCCTTTTGGAAATTATTTAGCTTATAACCCAAATTATTGTCTACAATATAGGTCTTAATGTTTTAAATGAAAAATAACACAAAAAGATTTTAAATTGTTCATTGTTTTCTTTTGCTATTATCCCATATGCATTCATTTACAATTCTCTCAGGTATACTTTTTTTTTTTTTTTTTTTTTTAAGAAATAACTTATTTCACCTTATTGTCATGATTTTTGTTTTTAAATTAAGATGGAAAAATTCCTGAAGAAATTAGAAAAACAATGTAGTTTTTGTATTTTAAAAAAATGCCCTCCTTCTCTTTAGTTAGTTTATCCTTATACTTATTTGTATCTTCAAAGAATTCAACCATTAATAGATTCTAATTGGAAAGATGCATCTACTTTTGCTTTTTATTCATTTTCTCATGAGATCAATTTCCAGTAGCAGTTGAAAAGGTTCTATCTTCAGTTGTTCTCTCAAATTACTTTTAATTTTTTACTTTTATAGTATATTTATACTATAAACAAAAATATCCAATAATTAATGTTAAGAAATCAGATTTAAAATGTTTTTATTTGGAAATTATTGGAGATTTTTTTTCTTGTACTTTATAAACTGTATGTATGTATGGAATAATTTTGTATAAGCATTTTCATCTTGTATACTAGATAAATCAAGTGTCCATCATCTTAAGGAATTTTTCCCTCTTTCTGAATATTCAATTTTTATCATTTCATACAAAATAATTTTTTCCACCTTTCTATTGGATTCTTTGGATTAGTGTGAAATGATTTAAGTATAAAACTTTTCTGATTAACTTTTTTGAAATAAACTGTCAGTAATATATAAAATATACTTCTATTTGCATTCAAAATGTTTTTAATTACTTAAAAAAAATGATACAGTTTAAACACTTGAAATTAAATCTGCTTAATAAGCAACTTTTAATCTTTCATTGTAATGTGTATGTTTTTTTTGTGTAACACACAGACACAAGGACAGTTAATTATATAAATGCTATAAGCTTATAGAAAGATTACTGAAAACTTCTCAATCTAACCAAGAAGGGATTCTCACCCAAATTCCTGATGTTTGATCATTTGGTTAGTTTTTTTGGGAAATAGGTAAGGCTGAGAAATTTTCAGCCCCACACTCTGATATCATATTTCATTTGAACTTTTATCCTCATCTTGATTGTTTTCTTTCATATGAACTGTAAATCTGAAGTGCAGTATGAGTTATGTGGTCAGCAAATAGGTTTTAGCCAGTTTATGAAACATTAAATACAATATCTAAAAAAAAATGAATTCCAACTCATAACCTGATAATTTAATGTAAAAACAGGCTATACTAGGTTATGTTATTCTAATTAAGTGCATTTTATTGTTAGGGTATATTTTAAGTTTTTACTATTTCATATAATCACAGCATTAAAAAGATATTTTCTATAGATCTGTATATAATTTCTATGAAACTTGTCAGGTGTTTGTGTTGTCATTAGGAGTTGTATGAATACAGTATTTGCATAGACCTTCTCCTATATAGGGACTTAAGGGACTGCCAAAATGGTCATCTATTGTCCTACTCTCTCCTTCTACATTTGACAATCCTATTTTGTCATCTGCTACTCCTCACATTTGATCAGCTGCTTCTCCTGTATCTGTCCTAGACATGAAAACTGCCAGTGATCCTAATCAACTTAAAAATGACAACAAATACAGTCATCTATCCAGAACTTCACCATGTATATTTGAAGGTAAGGACACAGTGGACAAGGACTTCTATTAATGAGGCATTAAGGAAAATGTCTTACTGTTTTCACTGGCTTCAAATGGTATGGTTTTCCAGACAAAAGTATATATTATGGAATATGTATCTTCTAAGAACATTAATTGGCTTGAGCTAAGAAATGTAAATAAACTGTGCAAGCATATATAATTTGTTTTTATAATATACCATTGTAGGTTAATTTTGTATTAAGTGATTATTCTATTCTTTATTATTAACATTTTTTAATGCTATAGCTTAATCCAATATGCTCAACAGGTATATTATATATTATTGTCTATGACCACTTTTTGAAGCACATCATATCTAGAATATGTTTGCATAAGTTACCCATGTTAATGGCCTTCTTGATATTACCATGAATTTCATTGTAAACAAATTTGGAGATGTTAAATTTACATTAAAATTATATTAATATAAATTATTTTTAAAAAGAAAAAATCTATAAAACCATACAATTCCCATTAAACTATATTAGTTGGTGAAATAATTGTTTTTAAAACAATGTCAAAATCTAACAATATATGTTAAACCTATCAAATACAAAATGCATTAATGTATGTTGATCTGAAAACCCAGTTATGTAGGGTTTGGTTTTCAACAGAAAATAAAATCCCATTATACAAGTGTGGCTAACACAATGCAAACATTTTAAAAATTGATAAAAGATGAATGTTTCTTATTTTTATTTATTTTTACTGATGTTATAAATCAAGGAATTCCTTTTACAAACCTACTTTTCAGCAATTTTTTTTCTTTGCATTTATTTTGGCTATTCATCAAAAAATGGAGTTTTTTCTTTTTTTTTATTATGCTTATTAATCAAAATATGCAACTCCAGGCAGTGTAATGTAAAATGTGTTAAGAAGGCAAATCTCTGCTCAACTTAAATGTTTTCTTCATATTCTTAATTGGTTAATTGAGACCAAGTATTATTTCTGATCATAAAACATACATTTACTTGTTTCTTCTTATTTATTGTGTAATGTTTAACAGAATATTCTATCCTATGAATATTTTCTCTAATTGTACTAGTTACTTTCTAGAATTAACTTTGAAGTTAAATATAAGCCTTTTTACAGTGATTAATTCTAGCTTCCTATCTAAAAGATTTTCTAACATTATTTTCAGTATTGATAAGAGAATGAATACATTTCTTTGTTGTCAAACTATGAAATGTTTTATTTGCATATTATTTTTTTAATAATGAGAGCAGAAAATGTTTGTTTACTTGTAATTAAAATAAGTCTAATGGTTGGGCATTTGTTGGATTAGTGTTGTTACTTAAAAATTTGAAGTTCTTCATTTTATAGTTTTATTCATCTAAAGTTGAGAATAACTTTGATCATATAAACTAAATTATGGTATACATAATAATTTTATTATAAATGTTTTACTGTCAGCTTCTTAGTACTTTCTTAGGGTGCTTCTGTCTGATAACCAAACAAAAAGGGTTTTCTTTTTGAGGCCAGTCAATCCAGTAGGCCTCAAATGATAGCATCTTAATGCTATAATTTTCTTTAGTTCTTCTCACAAACTATTTTCACTGATTTTTAAATATCTGCTTCATGCCTTTCCTGCTGGTGGAATTTATTTTGGCTTTTGTCACAACACCGCATTGGCCTTGTTAAACACAACACTTAGCTTTTCAGTTACAATGTCATATTATTTCTTACATGTAAATGATAAGTCTTGCACTTTATTTCATTTATATTACAGTATATTACTTGGCAATTTTTTTCCAACTAAATAATATTTTATTCTCTTTTTCAGCAACTCTAAGTAATTTTATTTATTTTATATAATCAGTAAGATATAAGAAATTGAATGTTTTTGTGTTTTAATGTAAAATCAATTGCTTTCAACAAGATGCTCACTCCCAAATCTTTTATTTGTCATATGTCTTTCTAAGGACATAAATTGCAATATATTCCATTTTATGCAGATTTATCATAGGTAAAATATTTCTCATTATGATGCTGGAAGGTCAATAATCAAATAATCTCTTATGGCAAAATTAATTCTTGATCAATACCACTTTTCCATATATCTTTCTTTTGAAGTAAAATTGGAAAATGACATTAATTAAAATCTGATGATTGGAATGTTATAAACAAATATAGAGAATAATGTGCCTAAAATAGAAAAGTATAATGCTTCAGTTCTGTTAAATATCAGTAGGTTTCATTCTTTTCAGTATCATAATATTTTTACAATGACAAATTATTTTTACAACTTCTTAAATCACTACTTAGTTTGTGCATAAAAAATGTTACACAGTGGTACTCCACTCTCTTTAATGAATGTAACTGGCTCAAGAGAAGGCATCACTAATCAAAATTATGGTTAAGTGATTAATAGAAATAAACTAATTAGTATAGGAACACACAACTCATAGTCAAATAACTCTTTGAAAATTATATACCAATTTAATTATTTAATGAAAGAGTATATATGTATAATTTTTTTTCTTTTACTTGTTAATGACTTTTTTCTTAACAGTTTTTTTTTTTTGCACAAAGTAAAACTGTTTGGTGGCTACCTAATACATGTCACTGTGCACAGGCCAGTTGCATGTTTAGCTGCGCTATTTAGAACTTCATCATACATAGTTTCATATATATGCTGTTGATAATACACAATATTTTATAAGTAATCTAACAATTTTCTGTTTCTAGTAGTTTAATGAATTCAGTTTTTACCTCTGTTATTATAAAAAAGTTAAAATAGGTTTTATCATATAGTTTTCTATTCTGAGGCAGACATAATGTGTGACTTTTTTATTTTCTTGCAAAATTAGGGAGGGAATTACAAATAGGGAATTCAAACATTTCTCTTAACTGTAACTGAAAATTTGGTTGGTTATAAGTGTAAAATTTTGAGGCTAAAACCAAAAACCTTGCAAAATAAGTTGGGCATTTTTAGTTTAAATAAGTTTTTAATATCTACTAGAATTACTACAGAACATTAAAAAATGTTATTGCTTTGTATGATGAATCCTTTTTATATAGTAAGTATCAAATCACAGATGACTCCTCCAATCACACTTTTGGACATATTTGCATTTAAAATATTTTTTATGTACTTCCATAAATTAAAGCATTTTGGTTGCTATAAAATATCAAATCTTTTAGAATTTAAAGAAAGCAAATTATAGATTATATCACAATTTTTATTTTTCAAAACATTCATGAAAGGCACAAGCTATAAGCAAAATGTTTCTGCTTGACAAAATTTTTACAAATGCTCATTTGTGCCATTTGACATCTCAAACTGTTGAAAATCTTTACACTGCTTTAAAAATTAAGTCCTGTATATCAAAACAGTTGTATATATTTAATTTGGATTTTCAAAGAAATTGTGAGGATTAGGATCAGCCCATTTTCAGCATTTATAAATTCAAATAATTGTATAATCTCCAGTGTGGTAAATTAGCTAATAGACCAAATTATTCCATGATCTAATAGTATAATTAGTTTACTATACTGAGCACTTCCTTGGATTTCTCAGAGCAATGGCAGTTACTATCCTCCTTCCAATTATTGACACAGGTTTTACTGTTGCAGTGAGTGGTTCTGGCTAAAAAAATAGGTAATATCAATATTGTTGCTATGTCAGTCATTTTATTATAAAATGAATTCTACAATATTGTTTATGACAAAATTGTATGTTCTTCCAGGTAATTAAATTTTTTTTATATACTATTATAATTTATGCCTATTAATTTAATTTTCATTATCATAATCATGATTATACACTTTTTTTATGAAAATACTTTTACAGATAGCTACAAGTCAAGATTTGGGAGTTGGTTCAAATAGTTTTCTCTCTTAATATATATATATATATATATATATATATATGGTAATCTTCAATGAAAGATTCTTGTAATTTCTTTCCAATTAAGTATCACATTGCAGCAATAAATGAATTGTTATATTTATAATGTAAACTAATAAGCATCTATAATCTATGTTTATTGATACTACTTCAAAATTCTTTTATTTGAGAAAATTTTTCTATAGTTTGGAATTAGCACAAAGCTTTCCTCTTTATTCATTTTTCTTGATTTGTTAACCTTCATCTTGACTTGTACTGACTGATTGTGGTAAGTAATGATTTCTGCTCCTTTTGTGTGTGTGTGAGATATATATATATATATATATATATATATAATCTCATTTTGCATACCCATACACAATCCAGATATAGATTTTGATTTAAATTGCTTTCACTTCCAAATGTTGGCTATGTTTGTTTATTTTTTTTTCTGTGTAAGCTTTCCATTTTTCAGTTGTATCCTTTATAAATTTGCCAGATTGTCTGTGCAACTTTTGGCATAAGTTTCCTTTGTTTTTTTATCATTATTATGATTCAATGGCATTAAGTTTGTAAAATGATTTTGTTTATGAACATTCATACTAGCAAAGAATTACAGATGACACAACAAAATATCACATTCTTCACCGGATAGAGAAGTGTGATATTTTGCTCTGTAAGCTTTTATTATCAATTGTTCAGATTACTAAGATCATGCTATAATTGTGAAAAAGGTTTAATTTAAAATTATTATTGCTTCTGTGAGAATTTTGAGGATAGTCAAGACAAATATGAATAACATCAAAAATTAAATGTATCAGTTTTAAGTTTTTTTTTTGTTTTTTTTTAATTGATTTAATATCCTTTCATACAGTTGACAGGATGATACAAATATAGAAACAGGTTATGTTATTTTCCTATTGTAAATGTTTTCTTAACTTTGTTAATTTGAATTTTGGATTGCATATTTTCTGTTTACTTAAAATAAAACTACATTTCATGATTTGGTAAAATTAAAAAATACACATTCAGTATTTAAAAAAAACATTCATTTATACATATTTACTAACTCTACTATATAAGTTGATGTTATTTGAATATTGCACAAGCATTCAAATTTAGATAATTTTTTAAATTTTAGAAGCAAATTAAGATTAAATATTATTTTTCAGTGTTACATGAAATTTCAATATATTTTTTCTAATTAAAAGTTGAATTGCTCATAAAATAATTGGGTAGCAAGTTGAAGATTATTTTTATATAATTATATTCTAAGTAGCAACACTTTTATTAAGTGTACCTTGTCATGAGTATTAGACATGGAAAAGTAGCCAAAGCAAATATTAATGAAGGTAGCTATCATACCTTACTAGCAATAACTAATAGTGTCATGAAATATTGCTATAAGTAGGCTTTTTGCTTTTTGTATTGAAGAAAAAATGCCCATTAGGCTGCCAGAGGTGGTTGACAAAGAATATATTTCAGAAGTAAAGTAGTGTATTAAAATTAATAATCCTTGTACATTTCAAACATAAATTCTATACAGACAACTTTTTTCCTGAATTCTTGCTTTAATTGCTATTTATATCATAAACCTCAATTTTGGAGATATTAAAACATTTTCTGTTAATATTATGGATATTTTTGAAAATAATTTTTCTATTTGATTAATTTCAATTTGTTCCAAGCTCTTTTTTCTATATAAAATCCAAGTAAAATGATCTTTTTTCTATATAAAATCCAAGTAAAATGATCTTTTTTCTATATAAAATCCAAGTAAAATGATCTTTTTTCTATATAAAATCCAAGTAAAATGATCTTTTTTCTATATAAAATCCAAGTAAAATGATCTTTTTTCTATATAAAATCCAAGTAAAATGATCTTTTTTCTATATAAAATCCAAGTAAAATGATCTTTTTTTCATAAAAAATCCAAGTAAAATACTCTTTTTTTATAAAATACCAAATCAAATCCTTATCTCAACTTTATCACATTTTAATCTAATATTACATATGTTGCACATTACTACTTATTTGAGATTTTTCAACATCATGGACAATAAATACTCTTACTGGTTAACATAAAAATTTATACAAATATTAAAGGCAGGAGTTAGTATATTAATATTAAATGAGAATTATGGAGGCATAATTTCAGAAGTATAAGATTAATTATATCTGCAGAACGTTTAACTTTCTTTTCTTTTTTTAAAATTTGAATTATAGTTTGTAATTCTTTCATGAGGATTTAAAACAAAAATGTAATATTGAAAGTTAAAAATCTTTTTTCACAATGATAGCATTCAGCTACTATCAACAACAACTTAATGTTAAGTTTTGTCAATAAAAATTGCTGATATTTTAAAATGAATTGAGTAAATTTCCTTTGTTTCATCCATTTTAAATATTTTTTTCATCTTCTTTCCAGCAGGTACAAATCCATTTACAGGAAGTGGCACAAATCCCTTTGAACAGTCTACAACTAGAGTTCCTTTGAGACAGATGCAGCAAACCCAGCAACAAGGATTTACTCAAATGAACAACTCTGAAATGCTACCAAGACCTCTCATTCCATTGAACACTTCATTGACTCCTCCAATGCAACAACCAGCCCAACCCAGTAATCCATTTCTCTAATTATTAGGAGATATATATATATATATATATATATATATATACACACACACACACACACACACACACAAACACTCTCAAGTACACACATGCACATACTCTTATTATATAATACTTGTATCAGTTGATAAATTATGCTAATTATAATGTGGTGAGTGGTGCTGTTATCACTATGACATCTACTACACACAGATACAGAATTAAAAATACAAAAAACTGGAAACCTGTTATAGCTATTTAAAGGAACTTGAAAAATTCTCCATATAATCTTATACTCCAGAGATTAGAAAAATTGGTTATAACAGGAGAACAATGTTGTGCTATTATTATTATTAATCCGTTTACAGCTGAGATAAAAGGATAAAGAAAAATTAAGATAACAAATTATTTCGTTATATGAAATTATTAATAGAATGCTTTTTTTTCGTTTCCAACCAATATACATGGCTCTCACATGCAAGATAACTTTTTAAGGGTATAGAATTTAAAACTAAATATAAAATACATTTGGCATATATACATATGTTAGTGTGTATTGTGTGTGCACACACAATTACTATATACCAACACGTAATCTGATTAGATGGATGTTAAAATAATGAAATGCTGGCTTTTGGTATGAACAGTTGCCTATGGTTTTGAGTTCATATGCCACTGACTGAATCTACCCTCTCATCTCTTCTTCCTTAATTGTCAGTTTAAGGAAGAATGGATCTTTTTGTTTTCTTTTGTAAATATTTTACCTATTGTCTAATATACAATGGACATAAACACTGGACATGAGCCTTACCAAATTTTATTTACTTATCTATGTGAAGAGGTGTTTCATCTCCTCCTCCTCCTCCTCCTCCTTCCCATGATTTTTCAATTCATTGAATGTGTTGATATAAACAGATAAAAACAAAAGCTTGAACAGTCTGTATTTTTGACACTTGCTCTTTCATTGTATGCTGAATAGCCTTAGTCACAAAAAAGAACTTAACCCAAACAAAAGTGTTGTTCATTTTTCAACAATGCTTACAGTTTGCACAAGGACATGCAAAGCAAATGAAATGGAGAAATTATTCAATCCGCTGACAAATTAAAAAAAAAACAAAAAAAAAAAAAAACAAATATTATTACTTTTTATTTATTTCTTTTTAACCATCTCTCCCTGTCCAGCCAATCCAGATATTGAAATCTTGATATTTTATCATTTTTATTAAAGGGAAGGAGTTTACATGCTATTTGTACCCAAATCTTGCACTTCTCCCATCCTTTGTTCATTTGTGTTCCTGCAAATTTGTAATCTTGCAGCCAAACTGGATTTGTAGCAATTGAATCTTGCAATATATATATATATATATATATATACACCCACACAATTGCTGACATGTTGCTTTGAAGATTTGTTCATCAGCTTTCACAACTGATATGAAAAAAAAACAGCAGTTGGTTATATACTGTTCTTTTGTCTACGAATTTGAATAACTGTCTTAGTTACAAAAAGTTGGATTAATATTATACTTTTCTCCAAAGGTATTGCATGTATTTGAAAATTGACTTGAAATTGTATTGAAGACTAAACACCTTTTGATTTAATTCATAGAAATTATCCTCATTCATCTGGTGCTGAGCATTTCTGTGTTGGAGAGAAAGTTAACCAATTGGTGTACTGAAGGTTTTGGCATCTATAAGTAATGCATGAAACATTTACACTTTCTATTTGCCATCACTTAAGCAATGGATTGGTTTAAATGTTTTTCTTTAACAATATTAACTCATTTGATTTCTTTTTCTACATGATTATCATATAAATTGTGGGTGGCAGGGTTCATGTTACTCAGCCATATTAGATTCAAACCCAGAAGTACTGATCTAGATTTTGGACAAGTTTTATATTACTCAAAATGCAGTCAGTCCATTTTTGTACTTATAAAATCTACTACACCATTGGTATAAATATTGACTATAATTTAGAGAATAAGAATTTTTTTTTACTTTGATTGGTCTTTGTAAAACAACTGCTAATAAAGCCAAGAGTCATATTTTTAAATTCTGGCTTTCTCCACTAAAGATTTTTGTTTCTTAAATTCTAGCAATAAATTGATACTAGTAGATTCATGTGGAATTTGTTTGAATATATGTCCACTAAAATTGCTACAGATTTATAAAGCTGTGGAGAAATTTATGAGAACTACATTCGGTCTTTCTGGCTTGAAAGTTCATAACATATTTAAGAGGTTTTTATCAATTGATGGCATTGAGCTCATCTGAGGTACACAACACAAATGTAAGCTTTGTGTTTTTAAATATATTTGTACTGATGAAAGTTTAGGTGTCAGCAAGAAAAAGTTATCTTGAAATGGCTTTGTCAAAAGATTGAATAGAATACTCTTGGTATTTTGGAAGCAATTGAGGTACAAATTTCAGTCACACCACTATAAACCATTACACCAAAGTATCTTAATAAATGGCTGACTTAACCAAATAACTGTGTCAGCAAACATTTCAGCTAAATGATTGGTTTCTTCTGGTTAAAGACATAATAGATGCAAATTTGAGTGGTCATCAAGATATTGGGATTTTTTTTTTTTTTTTTTTTTTTTTTTTTTTTCAATGCTTTATACTCTAAGATGTCAGTTTCTTTACATGTAAACCTGAACAAGTATTATAGCTTAATATAGAGAATATATAGATGTTTAAATATGGACATTAATAAACTAGCTGCATGTTGACAAAATGGATGGATGTGGTATTTTGGACTTGACAAGCTTTCTCACTTTCACTTTGACATCATGACTGTATAAACTCCATACTTTTTTTTTTTTTTTTTACTCTACAAAGGTCCAGCCACATCAGCATTGCTATAATTATGACTAACACTATGCTACATACATAATGTATAAATAAACATTTTGGTTTCAGAATTTCTGAAAATTATGTGCTCTCATTGCTGGCATATTTAGCAAATTAAAAAAATGCTAGAGAGAACATTCAGTTATTTTCAAAAGAAACTTTAATAAAGCAAAAAATATTTCAGGTTGTTGTTTACCTAATATAAAACAATCCACAAATTTTCAATTTTTAATTCTATACATGACAAAAATGTTTTCATAATGATAATTGCTTTTCAATTGTCTGCCTGATGTCACTTTCCAAGTATGCATGAGTGCATGTGTGAGAATTTTTATGAAAAACCTGTAGTGTTTGTGTTGTAGAATAGGCAACTCTCTCTTCCTACAACATATGTTGATGGTGCTTTATTTTTTTATTTTTTCTGATTAACAACTGCTTCAAGCCTCTGCAGCATGTTTAACTGTTTTATTCCAAGAACAAAGTTAAAACATCTATCTGATTCAATCTGTTGTATGAAGATCCTGGTTGCTATTTCAGTTTTCATACCTTTGAAAGCTTGTACTTACAGCTGTGGTTGCAAGTCTCCAGATAACACAATTCCCCACAATCTTAAAGCTTTTCCTACTATTGCCATATTTCTGGTTATTTAATTTTTCTTTTTTCCTTTTCTTTTAATTATTAGTGGCAAACTACAGCATGCAAAATTTCATTGACAATGGACAATAAGCACAACCAAAAATTCTCTTTTGAAAGCAATGTTAAATGTATATTTTGTAAGCTTCTACTGCAAAAGATGAATTTTTTTTTTAATTTCATACTGTCTTTGTTTATTTTGGCCAATTGCTAATTCATTTTTAATGATGCTTAACATTTTCCTGTTTCAAGTTAATCTCTTCAACCCCCACTCCACATTCTTATAAAATTGACTTTACTGTTTTTATTGCATATGTACAGTGTGAATCAGAAGTTGTATGACATTTGAAAAGAATTAGAAATTTACCAAGATACTTCAGTGTTGCTCAGTTTTGAAGTTGATTTTGTCATCTAGAATATATAAAAAATAATTTTATTCCTTTCGGATTTCTTTTGATTCACATTTTGTACCTAGAGTTATTTTACTACTTTTTTATTATTATTACTTTCATTTTCGCATACCTTATAGCAGATATACATTGAAAATGACTAACACATTTCACTTGAAACATGACTACCTTGCTTTTCATTTCTTTATTTGTTATAATTCCAACTTCTTGATGCTATACTACATGATGTATTAGACAATTCCAGATTAATTTTCTTACTCCATCATTTCAGAGAGAATTGTCCATTATAATTTTAATTTTGCAGCAGATCAAGCACATCGGGATTTAAGAAGTTACAAAATAAAGATTTAAAAAAAAAAATGTTTCCAATTATCTTGATAAATTTCTCCTCTAAGAAAAATATGTAACCTCAAAGAAACCCTTTTGAATTTTCCTTTTGTCCTATTTTATTTATACTTCTGTTTAAAAGGCATTTCTCTCACTTTCTCTCTAGTTTTTTGTTCAATTAACAGTTATTTTAAGTTTCAGAAGGAAACAAAAATTGAATTTATGACCTGACATCAAGACTCTTATTTTTCTAAAATTTGAACCAATTTTAAATGGCTAAAAGAAAAAATATTTTGAGTGTCATTTTAATGAAGAAATGTCTATACTTTATTCTGAACTGGCTACAAATCTGCTTTAAACCACTGTCGTGAATAGTGGAAACTCCATTTTCTGCTACCCAAGAAAAAGTTTCTTTTGTAAAAGCCATGAAATTGAATTTGATGCTTTTTATTTTAATCAAAGCTTTTTACCTACTTCTAATGTGTGTAACACACACACACACACACACACACACACACCCACATCTACATACATGTGATGCCTAAAAAGCTATTAACCAGTCTGAAATTTTATTCTACATTATATTAATTTCTTTGTCCCCAATCATTGTTGCTTACCTCCTCCTCCTACACATCTTCATTTATCCTTTAACAAATTAGCCTTCTTCCTCCATGAACCATATATTTTTCAATAAAAATAAAGGAAGGCAAATTAATGACAAAACCAGTGACTTGGATAGAACACAGCAAGTATTAATGAACATAAGCTCTGTCCTTTCCCATTGTTGCTCATCCT